GAGTGAGTGAATGTGAGGCAATATGTAAAGTGCTTTGGTGGCCATTGGGTCTGTGAAAGCGCTATATAAATGCAGTCCATTTACCAAAGTTGTTGGTGTGTTACCGACCACTAGTGTTCATTTCAGCTGAAAACTGCAGTGAATTGTATGTTTTAGAGTTTTACAAAATGTTGTGTGTAACTTAAATAGCTGGTCATTAGCAGGATGGCCAGTTCCTTAAAGTAAAGCGTCAGCATCGCTAACTCACATCCAGCTACAGTAGGCCATTCATCATGGAGATGTTATCTGAACGTCTTAACGATGGCACCTGTGTCAACACAGCAGGACACGGATTGCGTGAGGAGGGAAGCTTGTTCATTGTGTCCAGTTTAGTTGTCTTTTACAAGTTTAGCTGCTTTTTAACTGGCCAGTGGCACAGGTCACATCTGGCACAGCAAGCATGTCTTTCTCCGAGCCCTTCTTCTAAATAAACCCCCCTACATTAACACTCAGAGCTAATGAAATCCAAGGCAGAAACTGTGAAATTTCTGTGTGTTGCCCGTTCTGGATCTCGAGAGGACCCGTGAGCGGTGCCGGCTGGCTAAATGATGTGTCAGCAACTGTATGTGTGTTTGTGTGTTCTGGGTAAACCCACAGCGGTGTCTCCAGATTAATGTTTGTTGGAAAGTGTGGCTGAATTTTGCTTCTCAAACTCTCATCGCGCCCATTAACCTGTCTTGGTGTAGCCACGGGGGTAAACGGCAAGGAAAGTATGTGTGTGTCCAGATTAATTACTCTCCCTGCAGATATATGGAATATAAACAACAGCGATTAGCTCACTAGACCCAGAACACCTTAAGACATTTCATTCCTGCTTCGACGTTACACAAACTTTGTCGTATGCCGAGGGATCTAGTAACACTAGTATCGTAGCGTTAGCATAGCGGTGTCAGCTCAGGTTTTCCGAACTGTGTGCGGTGTAACTCAACTTTAACATTTACGGAGAACCCTTAGAGAAACAATGTTACCATAATGGATGCAAAACAGTGTATTTTAGTATTATTTATATACTGTACATCCGAATAAGTTGGCAAAACTAAAAAAAAAAACAGTTTAAGTAAGCAAAACTGGCAGATTTGTATGTTGTACTCATTCATTTTAATTGCTCTTAACTTGAAATATTTGAGTAAACTAATTCATACATTTAACTTAAAATTATCATGTAATCTCAACTTAAATATTTTTAGCAGTGGATACTTGGATAGCTTTAGCTAATTCAGTAAATGCTAACTTGCTTCATTCATCTTGATCAAAAATAATTACATAACACTTGATTTGAGCATTTACTCTCCCGTTCGAGTGTCATGGCAAAGCATCCTGGGGAATAGAAATCCCAGCTTAGTTTCAGTTCAATTTAAATGTGTCTAAATTAAAATAAACAAGTTCTTAAAACTCAAAATAATGAAACAATTCAGATTACTTAAAATGTGTCAGTTTTGTGAACTCAAAAGAAAAATAAAGTTCTAAATACTCGTAAAAGTGAATTTGATTGAACTTATTTGTTTAGTTTAAGTTTACTCGACTCAAACCAATTAATTATTTTGAGCATTAGGGTTTACAGGTAGTAGTTGCCACTTTTTTCATGTTATAATTATATATTATTTTATTTTCAGCTTTAATTCAATTAACGGAACTATTTTTAATAGTTTTAGTTAACAATAAAACTGATACATATATAGTTTCTACTTTAGGGTCAAACAGAGGCAGCTTCAGTGATATCTGGATTTGTTTAGCTGAGAAGAACTTGTATATAAAAGGATAATTTCTAAATTACAGAAATGTTTAGACATGTTAGATATTGGGGTCTCTGGGAACCAAACCGTAAAAACAGTACAGTTAATCTCAGTAGAACATGAGGATTAAATCTATGACACTTTGCCGGGTTTGTTTGCTCTAAAGGGAGACCTGAAAGTGATCTTTTTAACAAGCATCGCCTCTGGCCTGTAAAATAAACTGAGCAAATATTCCACAGAGACCGGAGGCTTCGGCCACTTCACCACATTGAATAGATAAGCCCTGTGTATATACATTATGTGCGGAAAAGCTAAATAAATTGTACAAAAGCTAGCCGTTAATGTCAGGATTAGCGCTTAGCTGCTATGAATCAACCCTGTGTTGTTTTTTCAATACCACTTCACTAGTCTCTCATAAATTCTGGTGTTTAAGTGTAAATTTAGTTCAAAACGACTTGAAAGTATTTGTGGCTGTGAGAGGGAAAGAAACCAAGAGAGAGAGGGAGAAAGTTGGATGGCTCTCACAAAGGTTTATTTGTTTGGCTTGAGTTTACAGCCTCCCGTTTCTCATCTCAGCTTTCCGCAGTCTTTCTCTTGTAAAGTTTTTTTTCCCCCAACTATTTGCAAATAACTGCAGAAACAAACCAAGGGACATGTGATTGTGTGGAGCATTTGTGGTTAGTGACAATAACAACACGTCTCTGAATCCTTATGAGACACGCATAATCACAAACGCGCACACACACACACATACACACAAATCCTAGAACAGCAATCTGTAAACAGCAGTGGTGCGTTACAAAGCCAGTCACAGCGAACAGCAGCAAAGATACACAGCTCCATCCAGACGGATAAATGTACTAGTGGACCCACAATTCTCTATATCATCCACAGAGGCACGTGTTGACAGTTTAGCTAACTTTAACTAACTTACTCAGCCAGATTCTTTAAAATTGGTGCTCCACCTACACCTAAGAAACCAAAAGAAGAAAATTAGCCACAGTTAGCCCTAATAGCGCCCTTTTGTGGCAATGCGAATTGAGTTGATACAGTTCATAAATCAGAAATGCATGGAATCATGCTAACACAGAAATATTTGCTTTCATGTCCTTGCTTTGAGTATGTTCAGGGTTGCTTTACTGAAGAAAAATAATTTTATAATATGCACTTTATATAAATAGTGCTGAAGAAATGTGTTTTCATCTTGCGAAAGGAAAATGCAATTCCTTCTTGCCCGTGGATCAGCCACAAAACCTTTCCCTGTGTCAGAAGATTATCTTAAGAATAGTCTACAGTATTCAGTGTTTCTGTCTGCTAGCGCTGGAACGATCAGACAAATATGATGAAAGTTGAAAGTTTTTGGCCCCATCATCAAATAGTTCCTTTGAATTTCTCTGCAAGCCTGTTAAGCAACTTTTATTTCAAGTTGGAAAGTTTTAGAGACACGGTTTGCTGACCATTCATCTGACAGCTTTCAAGTTTTTCTGCAATTACCCTGTCCTGTTCGTGTGTCACCTTCTACACACGTGTAATTGCTGGCACAATAGTTTTCAATGGATTAAAGTAGAGGCCTGTAGGTTTCCAAAGACCACATTAAGCTTCATTTGTCTAGTTTAAGAAAGAAAATGTAACTTTAAAATGTCTGGAATTTTAAATCTCTGTGTAATGAAAGGACTAAAAGTGTGGAATTTATGTCCTGCTGTTTAAAAACCAACCAAGTAGTACACTAAATGTCAACTCACTTTAGCTTCAAATTCCCGTGCTGGTCATTTTCTTTAGAGCACATGCCGGAAAAATGGAAAAGAAATAAAAAGCACATAAAAAGAAGCAGTTAATGGTTTTGTGGCAGAATGTGGTCGTGAAGAGTTTTTGATTACATTAAATTATGCACCTAATTGTCACGATCGCAGTGAATAAGGTCCACAGAAAGAGATGAATTCAAAAATAAAAGTATTTAATCAAAAAAAACTTACCAATAACCAACAATCAAGGCAGCGAAACGAGGAACTTAAATACATACTGATAACGAACTAAAAGACTAACAGGTGTGATGATTGGATGAATTGCCATAGTAACTAATGATGGCGGGAAACATGAACAAAGACAACAGGATATAATGAGAAGCAAACTAAAAGTCCATGATAATGAAACTAAACGAGCAAATAACTGAATATCCCTGTCACTAATAATATTCACAAAAAAAGAAAGCTCTTCAACATCCAAAAAATTCTGTTATCATTTACACACCCTCATGTCAAAACCCATGTGAATTTATAGAACAAATTAGGAGATATGTAATAAAATGTGCATGCTGCTCTTTCACACTTAATAAAAGTAAGAGGTTATTTTGGCTGATTTTCAGTGAAATTTTGATCTGGCTTCAGAAGAGTGAATGACTTTTATGATGCCGTCCTGGAAGATCCTATTCAGTTTTTATGCAAGCTTGAAAATTCTTCAAAACGTATCCTTTTGTGTCCCACTTAAAAAAGCAAGTAATATGGGTTTGGAAGCACGTGAGGATTTTCAGCCACACTGACATCATTATTAGTCATCTCTGTTCTGGTTCAGGATCTTTAAACTTTTGCACCCGCAGTAATAATCACGAGATTCCACACTACATTAGGTACCAGTGCTAACGTAATGTTGACATTTCAGTGTTGATGATCCAGAGGTGATCCGATATGCATCACTCTGTAACAAGAGTGTATTTACTCTTAGAGCTCTGAGCCTATTCATCACACAACAGCTTTAGTCGAACGGCCGTCATGTAAGTGCAAAGTAGTGATGTATGTGTGAACTTCAACAACACACTGCATCAGCAAAGCTAGTCCACAAGGAGTTCAGGATGAATGTTTTGACTTGTCGATATAAAAGTGTGTGTGCACATTTTTAAAGGGTGGTTATATAAAGCACGATGGACATAGTTTGCTATTTCTTAATTGTATTGTTGTAAGCACCAACCATACTGCCCATGAAACATTTAATAAGTGCAGTCTCATATGTGCATGTACTTTCGTGCATGTTTCGTCTTCATCATTAGCCCACACACCCAAGCAAAGAGCATATCCCGAGCAGGGTGGGCCTCCACCACGGCCCATAAACCATGCAATCATCGAGCAAAACAACACAGACCACCGTGTTCCTCCTCCGATGTTTGTTTTTTCCCCCTACTCCATCTGCCTCAGTGAACTAACAAAAAATCCTAACTTTTTCCTTCCTTTTCCTCAGGTCCAGAATGCTCCAGGAACTTCACCTCCAGCAGTGGAGTCATCAAGTCTCCCGGCTTTCCAGAGAAGTACCCCAACAACCTGGACTGCACATTCATGATCTTTGCTCCAAAGATGTCGGAGATCGTTCTGGAGTTCGAGAGCTTCGAACTGGAGCCGGACACACAGCCTCCCACTGGAGTGTCCTGCCGCTACGACCGCCTGGAGATTTGGGACGGTTTCTTTGGAGGTGAGTCGTTGGAAAGATCTGTTGCTCCAAACAAGACAAGGAGAATGTTTGAAACAAAAGATCATTAAGCTGGATGATGTTTGCCAATTTATGCCCAAAAGACCGGCAACAATAAACTCAGATAAATCAATATAGAAACATCTGCAGAAACATAACATGACATCAACTAACAAGAATGTTATTTAAATAGATTTAAAAAAAAATGTGAGTGGCCTATGTAAAATGCATCAACAGAATGTTCACGAGTTCACACTTACGAATAATCAGAGAGTGAATGGTTATGCGTATTTGGCGTGCTGTCCGGGGGGAGGGGTTCGACCTCGGAAATTGGGCCCGAACCCAGAGTACTCCCCCCGTATCTCTGGTTAGGAAGATAACCAGGCAAGTGTGAGGAGATGGGGTGGTGGAGGGATGCTGAAAACTGTCGAGGAATATGGGTGAGTCGACTGCGTATATTTATAGGCCTTACTCATGTTGATTGAGTGGACCTGTTGATTATTGATTGCTGACAGCTGGTTGGAATGACTTGATTGTTTGATCATTAGAACGTGTTCCTCCCAAACCTTGTTAATAAAACATCTTTTAGGGAATGCTTGGTGGTTTGGAGGGTGTCGACTCGACTTTCAAGAAGTTGTACCTGCAGGGTGGGGAACGTTGATCCTGGAGGGCCACTGTCCTGCAGAGTTTACCTCCAACCCTAATCAAACACACCTGTAGCTAATCAAGGTCTTCAGGATTACTAAAGTTACAGGCAGCTGAATGTTTTTGTCAGGGTTGGAGCTAAACTCTGCAGGACAGTGGCCCTCCAGGATCAACGTTCCCCACCCCTGCTTTAGGGGTACAACGGGGTCACTGGAGCAGTGCTCTTGAAGGGACAACTTTGTACCTGATTTACCTCTAAAAGGTGCATGTTTGTAACTTAGAGTAGTATGTAATATGTACCCCAAAGGTACTACTATGGACACTAACCTTTTATGGATAAATCAGGTACAAAGTTGTCCCTTTAGGGGTACTGTCCCAGACAGCGACATAGTGTCCATAGATCCATCTGGGCCGACACTACACTATGTTGCTGTCAGGATGATGTACCCCTAAACGTAAAATTTCTGATATTTCACCAGTTTTATCTGCCAGGAGAAAATGGTAAATCTGATTATGTATAAAGTATAAAGGAAAGCAGACCTTTCCTCAACAAGCCACATGATTTGAGATATCATACATCTTCAAACAGTTGAAGTTTAATACTTACCCAGACAGCAACATAGCTCACATGTGGACCGGCACTATGTTGCTGTCTGGGTAAAAAGGGGGTCTGGAGAATGAAACTAAATAGTGGTCAGTGGAAGGGGCTCATCTTTGGCCTTTAACAGAGAAGTCAGATGCATGGATCTCTAGGCGAGATGCCTGACTCCAAATCGATTTCACAAGCTAAACAAAACTCTCATAAGCATGGCCAGTTTTCTATAAGATATTTGGTTCTGCACACAAACTCTTACATTCACAGTTTGCTGTATAAGAGTGTTTGAGAACATGTCGGGAGGATATCTTTATCCCGTTAATAGCTGTTCTCTTTTTCCGTCTGTCTGGACATTAGACTGTAGTTGGTGTCGGGCAGTTCGGGGTGAGGGACTCTGGAATGTAGACTGTTGTCATAACACCAAAAATATTTTGTTCTTCAAGATAATTACAGTTTATATTTGCGTGTATTTGAACTGCATAAACAAACCGAGCAGCCCAACAGGAAGATTCCAGCTCAAAAGTGGGAAGGAAGTCTGCGAGGACCAGAGGTCTTATTCGGTTTCCGCTTCATTATCGACTTGACGGAAGAGAGAAGCCGTGAACAAATGGCACCTTTGATCCGAGGCCGAGTCTTTTGAGCTTTCTCATAAATTATATATTTTTTAAACAATTGTTTCAGCATCTCTTCTGAACATAGGTTGTGAACCTATAGATCAACAATTATGATAAAATTAAGTCTGTTTAACTAAGGGGTTTTGAAAGGTTACACTAAATCTTTAGTGCTTTTTGTGAGAGCAAATTCAATGTAGGCCTGAGGGAAGTGTAGAACCTGGGATAAAGGTTGCAAGCTTTATTTTAGACTCAGCAGCCTCTGTTAAAAAATCTACAATAAAAAGGTGCCACAGAGAAAGAGCCAAGAGGGAGGTTGAAGACAAGACTTTAAAGGGGAGTCCCTGGTGCCTTAGGGCCTCAGTGTAACTCCTCTCCACGGTTCAGACACAAGCTGCATTACCTGTGGAGCCACACCAATCAATAAGTGCATTAGTGTGGAAAGACTGCAAGGCATGAGACAGAAGCTTCTATGACTTCCACCCCTCCATCACCCACCGGCCGCCCACTTTGAGGCAGTCTCGGCCTGGCAGAGGGTGTATGAAACCCCCTCCTCCTCCAAGAGCAGACATGCTGGACGGATTCATGGAGAGGCTCTTTAAAATTTCATAGCTCTGTTGAGTCATGCAGATAATCCGGATGCTTCACCACACCCAACACACACACAAAGCGCGCACACATTTATACACACTTGGATGCACCTGTTTCTCCATTCTATGAATTCTTATGAAGATTAAGATTAATGTAAACCCGTAGATCTGTTTTATGTAATCACACACACAAAGCTGGCAGTTCTGTTTAATCTCTTTAATGGACATCCTCTTAGAGCCAATCACTATGTTTCTCTTTTAAAGAAACAGCTAACCTTGAAAATGGAACTATTTTATTTATTTCACTAGTTTTTGATATGTTTTTTTTTTATTACTCCGCTTGTGTCATACACTGTAAAAAACAGATCTGTTGACTGAACTTAAAAAAGTGAGGAAACCCGTTGCCTTAAAATTAAGTAATAAAGTTTGAATTTGACAATTCCACATAACTTAATTTTTTCAAATTTGAATGAAGTTTATTTACTTAATCATTTTAATGCAGCGGGTTTCCTCACTTTTTTTAAGTTGAGCCAACTGATCACTTTTTACAGTGCACCTCTTTTTAGTAGTAAATTTTAATAATCCTGTATCTTTCATATTTTACACGGTTCATATTTTGCATCGATCAGGGATTAATCCTTTGATTAAGGATTAGAGATTTTACACTGTATAATTTTAAACACTGTGTTTTTGTGCTATTTACAATTTTACATAGTTAATATTTTTGATTAGACAGTCCAATATGCGAAAACGCACAAAAATGTGTAATTTCTGTGTGGTTTAAGTTTCTGTGACTGTACAAAGCTCATGAATAATTAATAAGGCAAGCAATGGGACCATTTATGATTGGTTGTCTGGTGTCAAACAACTTACCGTTTCATTCTAGCAAGTTTTAAATGTTGCTTAACCCAGAGTTGGCCTTAACCTGGATAGCCTTCTGTTTCTTCTTATTTTTCAGTACTTTTCTCAGCTGAATGTACTGCATACCTCTCCATTTACAGACTTAGCTGTGTTCAATTCTTTTTTTTCTTTTTTTCATGTCCCCTTCAACTCCTACACGTTTTTTTCTTTTAAAGTGGCTTCTGGGAAGTCACATCACAGTGGCCCTGGAACGAACAATACGTGCAGGAATTTATGATCGCCACTGAAAACAGAAACCCAAGGTCATAGACACTTACAAATCAGACACTGCCCTTTTCATTTCCATCAACAAAAAGCTGTAGGGAGAATGTTTTGTTCAATCAACACCGTTATACAAGATCAACCAATGTCAATGTCCTTGACGTTGACACATTAAAGTATCAGCTGGGATGGAATGGCATGAATAGTGGGTTGTTGAATGCATCTAATCAAGCTCTCTCATTTCTTTGTCTCTTTTTACAGTTGGTCCATACATTGGCAGATTCTGTGGACAGAATACTCCAGGACGGATCATATCCTACACTGGAATCTTGGCTTTGATAATCACCACAGATAGTGCTATAGCAAAAGAGGGATTCTCCGCTAATTATACCGTGCTGGAAAGGACAGTCCCTGACGGTAAGTCTAAAGTGCACAAAGTAATTCATGAAATTAATATACATTTTTTTACACTCATGAGATGAAGACTCCAGTCATTTAGGTTAAAGGATATTTGAACAACGTGAGGACTTTATTTTGAGAATGTTTGTTCCTAACGTCTTTAAATAACGTTAGCCAAAGTTATTGAAACATCTTCTGTTGGGTGGGGGAGAAACCCATATGCAGTGTACGCACATTCAACATGATGTAACATGGGAAGCTATTAAATCACCATGTCCCTCTCAGCTGTGGCCCTCTTTCATTAAGTGATTGTGTTAAGAGTCATGACCCATCTGCCCTGCTTTTTGGAGGTTGGATTACTCTCTTTTTTCCCCAAACCAGCTCACCCAGAGGGTTCACCTCTTCACCCCAATTTGAGAAATGCCCCGACTAAACATTTAATTTCAGAACACACCATCAACCCTCACCTGCAATCATGCTATGCATGTAAATCTATCCCTAGACACTTTTCTGTCTTTCTCCTTCACTATCTGTCTTTTTGTCCCCTTCTCTTGAGAATATACCTTTTCAACATTAGAGCTTGTGAATCAACGGCTGTTTTTTATACATGTAGTATGTATTATAAAGTACATATTACCGTTAATGCTGTGAACTGATGTACAGTAGCATGTTATATTTTAGCTTGCTACATCTGTACAGTCCCGGCTCATGCTCAAGAACACATTCGGTGTGTTCTCAGCAGAGGCTTTGCTGAACAGTCGCAGTCTATCAATTATTTATTGGCCCCGTAAATTTACATTCTGTGGCAGCTTCTCTCGCAGTTCGACATGTTTACCAGTATACATTGTGCTTTGCAGGAAGGAAGGAGATCGCCATTGGCAATAAGTCTTTATGCGAAGGATTTTGTCAGAGAACCGTCATAGATTTATGGTCTCTGCCGAGTGGGACCAAACAGTGACGGATGCCAGATGTAATCAGACGAGCGATCTGGTTGTTTTCAGTCATTGTTCTAAAGAATAAAAGGGTGGATAGAGGATAGATGGCTTGAAGAGATAGAGAGATAAAACAGAGCACTAGAGAATGAGTAATCATGTTAAGATTGAGTTGAGCTGTAGTTTCAAGGGTAAAAGACAGAAATTCATGAGAAGCACATAAAAGACTCAGCACTCCCTTTTGATTTTAATAGAGTTTGGCACTAACTCACGTTGCTACGCTAACAATGTGATTTTCTAATACTATAGTACACCTTTATAAATTGACAATAGTAGTTGTTATAATAAGTTAAATTCCCCCTATGGTGTAACCTTGTAACCAATCAGATCAACGTGTGATCGAGAGTGGATCTCTGAGCAGCTGTGAGTGGAGGCGGGGCTAATTTGCATATTCATAGAACCCCGAATACTAAATAAGGCAAGGGTGTAGAGTTACATTCAAGCTATTTTAAGGCATGAAGGATTTTTTTTTAAGGAAAAACTTTTAAATATGTAATTTTGATGATGAAAGGTTAGTTTCAAGTAGGGTTGGGTACCGAAACTCGGTGCCAATAGGGAACCAGTTCCGACGTAAACGGTAGTAACCAGACCGAATAAGAACGACAATTTCGGTGCCTGATTTCGGTGCCTTGACTTAATTAGGCACACACACACGCACAGTCTCTTCTGTCTCGCAAGCGCGCTCTTGCTCGCAAGGTTTGGCTGCATTTCACGTGTAAAATTACGCGTCAGAACGCCCTCTGGGTGTGCCGATAGTCTGAATCCCATATAGAATCAAGCCAATTCATTGGCTAATGGCGCGGGCGCTGCCTCGACGCACGTCATATTATGTTGGCGCGCGCGCGCCATCTGCTACTCAGATTTCTCTGTCGAAAAAGGAAGCTGGTCGGCAGCGCGAGGAGCTTGGCAGCGTCTCGTTCCCTATTGAGAGAACATAGGTTACACCAGTAACCAGAGATGTTCTCTTTCATAGGTTCACTCAACGCTGCGTAGCTAAGAAGCAGTGGATTTGTATTTGTAGGCTGCTGTATCACATGCCGTTTGAACTGACGCGCTACAGCGATGTCACATTTCAAAGAGCCAAAACGTTATTTATTGTGTCAATCTCGTAAAAATATTGACAGAATCTGACAGCTGTGGATTTGTTCCATATCAAAAGTAACCTTCTCTGTCTTGTCTGTCGATGTCCTCTTTGTCCGCGATTTTTCTCTGCGTGCGTGAGAGTTGGCAGCTCTGCTAGTAATCTCTATTAATCTCCAGTATTATTACATTGTTTGATACAATATTGTTTTATTTGATATTATGTAAATGTGTAAAATGTAATGTAAAAATTTGTATTTTATATTGGTTTTATTATTACCATATGTTACTTGTATTTATATTGTTTAAAGATTTAAGTTAATATTGTGTCCAGTTTGGCCCTGCAAATAAAAGGGTATTATTTTTTGATAAAGTGTGTGCGGTTTCGTTTTCTTAAGTACCGTTTCAAGAACCGTTTAAGCACCGGAACCGTATAAAAAATACCGAGTAGGTACTGGTATCGGATAAAACCCAACCGATACCCAACCCTAGTTTCAAGGGATGAAATTATTGACTACAGGGGGACTTTAATATTTTGACAGAATCTATTACTATGGTATATTTTTCTATGGATACAATTGCCTGCTATTTAATGATACTTTTCTATACTGACTTAAATTGCACGTAAAGTTATTTTTATTTACAGTATATTAACATTTCTCTCGACCCCAGCCGCCACCTTGGATGGTTTTTTTCACTGAGCTTGTCAAAATGCTCTGTTGAGTTTGCTAATTTACAAAGAATAAATGTGATGCTTACTTTTTTGTATAGGCATAGTAGCATTAATCCGATGCCTTCAAGTGCTGTCAGGCGACTCACTACAGTATGTTTTCAGAACAGGGCTAATGGCTCAGTGTGAGTGAACAAATAAAACTACTGTCCAGTTAACACACATACTTTCTCCATCTGCTACATGTGTTTAGGCCTGCATGTTTGGCCTGTGCTGTTTGAGTATGTGTGTATCTGACCTTCTTGCACCTTTCACTGTTATATTAGGGAACATGAGCTCACCCTGTGTCAATGTATTTCCTTACAATATGTGTTTGTTTGGTGTCTGTGACCTCCCACCTAAGCCTCAACATTTCCCCATCCTCCTCTGTCTGACAGTCCTAAATTCAGTGCCAAAGTGTCTGGATAAAGACCCTCGGGGGTCAAAGCGTGAACTTTGCTTGTCTCAGACACACGGCCAGCATGCCCCATAACATCACAAAACAATCAGTAATGCCCTTATCCTGGGTGGCATGGCATGTGGAGTGATATACAGCCTGATCTCCTGGCATCTAAAAACACAGACATTCTAGGGCCGTCTCTGATGCTGACGCTGGGGAAATGGCCTTCCCATGTGCCATTTAACTGTGCACCTTCCAAAGGCTTTTCTTTTATGAACCTCATGACTTCACTTGTTGCTGGACTTAAGAGCTTAAACTGAATGTTTTATGAATAAAGCTTTGCGTCTTAATGTGGTACACTTCCCACTGTGCTTCCATTAAATTGTGTTTTTTCTGTGAGAAGTGTTTTATTCTGGTCCTAAGAGATTCAAACCTGTGGTACTTTGCTGCTGAGTGGCCCATTCCCAAGCGGGAGGCCTTAGTTTGGGTCAGGATCTGATGTATTCTTTATTTAGATCATGAAATGACATTTTAACAACTCCCCCACCCCTCTTTCTCCCTGTGATTTTTTTTCAGACTTTGACTGTACCGAGCCTTTGGGTTTGGAAACTGGGGAAATCCATTCTGACCAAATCATGGCCTCATCCCAGTACAACCCCAGCTGGTCTCCAGAACGTTCTAGACTCAACAACCCAGAGAATGGTTGGACCCCTGCAGAAGACTCAAACAAAGAATGGATTCAGGTACTGCACGATTCACATGCATATACTATAGATAGGAGTCTATTATGAATGAGTAATGGAGGAGGGATTTGTCCTTGGCAGAGAATACTCTGCTGTGATATTTTTTTGAAGAAGCTCTGAAACTCCCCCACACTTTTTTGAGTTTTGTGTCTAGCTGAATTCAACTTCAGCTCTAACAGGCGGCCTTGCAGATTCTTTTGCCACTGGCTTGCTTTTCTCTATTGAAGACCAGCAGCAACATCTGTTGAATGTTGCCCTTTGGTCAACAGCCATGGAATGTTAAAACCCAAATGTCCTGGTTCGCTCCAACCCCAGTGAGTCTTCCCGGCCAACAGATGCTTGAAACCTCAACAAAATCTGTCTATGAGATGTATCTAACATGATCTTAATGTCCGAGAGACAATAAGAAACCTGAAGCCTGTTCTAAGGAATGTGGCCACACACAGTTACAGTTACATGTTCTAGGACAACAGATTATTTGTGCATGTCTATTTCGGTTGCATGAATCTGTGAAAAACTCTTGGCAGCAGTTATTGTGTTGATTGCAGGCCTTTTCTTGCACTTAGGGGCTTTTCTGTGACCCAAACCCCAAGGGTACCCTGAAAACCCAGACTTGTTTTATAATCTTTGGAAAGCTTGGGCCAAAGAGACTCCTCAGGAGGCTAATAACAAACGTGACCCGCAGCCAAATATTTGCTAGGGGAGGTCTGTTAAGCAGATTTTCCTTATTGCAATCAAAATATTGTCTCTGAAAACTCGTGTTCTAAACCAGAGACTAATTGAATTAGGGGAAGGTACCTCAATGTTGCAGTGAAGAGGAACTGTGATGTTTAGTTCTTCATTTCATTGTGGAAGCAAGACGTATGCATTTCCCAAAGAAACTGGAGACAAGTTCTCTACTTGCGGCTGCAAATTCTGCCCCACATTTTTAGGGAGAATTTCCATAGCTTTGTAGAGCAGAGCCCTAAGGATACTATGCTGAGACTGATCAATATGAGGATTGTGCCGTTTTATCTGTTGATTTCTCGAGTGTTCTTGATCCTCATGATATTTCAAAGTTCTTCTTTGTTTAGATGGGCTCATTATGCTTATAGATTACCAGTCTCTGTCAATAAGGTATTGATTTGGGACTCTTGTACAGAGCACAATGAACTACACTAAGACTCTACCAGGATGTTCTCTGAGAAGCAGTCGATAATTAGCCTCTACTCTTTTTACAGACCATCACTTCAACTCAAGGATTCTCATGTTCGTCAGATGACAGTATATTTGTCAATGTTTGGCATGTGGTTTTGACATGCTGTTGCACCACTGAGCTTCTTCTCAGAGAACATCCTGGTTGAGTCTTAGTGTAGTTCATTGTGCTCAGTACATGAGTCTTCAAAAGTTAAAACATTCTGCATTTGTGACTCAAATGAGTCTCTAAGATCAAATTTAGAAAATGTATATTCTAGCAGCTAAACCAATCGGTTCCACATCATTTCACAGTTGCCACTTCATATTTTATTCAGGATAATTAAGTAGACTTTGCAAATGTTCGCCCTCTTGGCTTGCTGAACTTGTTTAGTCATTTGAGATATTAATGAAACTCTAAATGACTCGCCTCCCACAGTGCAGTATTGAGCTGAAGAGAGCACAATTTCGCAGCCGCTTGAAATTCTCTAAAGGGTATTGATTAGAGGAAGGGTACTCTTTTTGGTAGGAGAAATTTCAGCAAATCAAACGTATTCTGTTTCAGCCCTCATGTGCCGTGCCCCTGCAAATCCCTTTCCGCCAATCAGATGTCAAAGTTGAACCCCGCACATCTGTTTCCAAGGGAACAAAGGCGGAACCCTGCCGAGGATGAATGATTTATAATTTGGAGACGTCCTGCGCTCATTCTCTCTCTCTCGTGCCCAGCACTTGTGGAGGAGTTTAATTATAACAAGCGTTATTAAAAGAGTGGAATTCTTCATTTCGCTTCCATTAAGCAACACAATCTAATAGCGCAGTCCAACAACTCGCGCACTCCTGTGTCCTCCAACGCATATTATCAGTTCATTATTTATTACATTTACACTCTCAAATGTAATTTACAGCAGACACTTATATTATTCATAGAAGCCCTGTTCTTCCTTGTTAAAAATCCCCAATTCTAGCAGGTTTTTCTCCACACAGAAGGTGTCAAAAAGACAGCGTTTGTCATGCATCTTAATGCGCTTTCAAATTAGATTCAGGGTCTAATGCTCCCAGCTTGCCACTGCTGATAATTAGTCAAGGGTCAGGAGATCTTCAGCTAAACCAGTAAACTACACAGGCCACTATTCTCTATGTCCATTTACAAAAGTTTGTGCCATGCTGACAAACAAATGTCCATTAAGGTCTTTATCAGATATATGATGGATGAAAAAGAGGAAGAGTCTTGCAGAACATGGGATTCTGGCTCTGAAGACTTCCAGTGTGCTATGTTTATGGAGACAGCCTGGTTTCAATCGGAAGACTGTGTTAAAGCGTGACATACCTACATCTGTACAACACATTTTGACTCTCACTGGGAAAGACTTCCGATTTATAGAATACCGTAACCTAAAACAAAAGACACTGTTAAGGGTCTTATGGATGGCAGATTTTCAATCCCATTTAGAGCCTGGCACAACAACAAAAACAGATCCTGTTTGGTAGACGGACTGAGATATTTTAACATCAATGCACTGCATACTGCGTGTGATGCAATAAATGCATGCTCATCCACTCCAGAAGCATCAAAGCACTTCTATGAATTATGCATTTTGATCTGGGAAAAAGTCAACTGTCAATAGTTGAAAGCTCCTGTCTACCTACTAATGGTTGAATAGAAGTTGCTCATTATAGATCATGTTCGGTTTCATTAATCTCAGCCTCGCATTCATTCTCATCCACAGGTCTACCGAAACGCGTCAGCTGTTGCATTTATGCAATGGTGCTTTGAATACACAGTGGTTCATTTATGAACATGCTGCATACGCCTGTCCTGCTGTTCAGCTAAATGATTTGATCAGGGCTTGATTCACAGGGATGCAAAGGCTTTTCTCCTTAGCTTCACTGGAGAGGATGTTTACCTTCATCTTGTTCATTAAAGCATCTCTGACAAGTGGGCAGAGCGTTCAAAACAACAAGGCGATGTTTTCAAGTCTGGAACTGTAGAATGCCAACCAGGTTTTGTGTCAGCTAGTTCAACAGGAAGACGTCAGCTTGATTGATGGAGGTGAGGAGGGAATGTGCCAGGTCCGTAGATGGAAACAATGATTGAGACACCACCCCAACCTCTTACTCTTATCTGCCGTGCCAAGGCCTCGAGTCGCCGACCCATTTTGCTACAAAAACAGGTCGGAATTCCCATCAAGCAGGCACTAATTACAGACTTCCTCTGAGAAAAACATTCCTCGCGGGCTCTTGAGCGTACGATTATCTAGGAAGGTTGAAATAGCAAAAATTCACTCCAGAAACAATGCATTTACCTTTGCATGTCATCTACATATGTTTTCTATTAGCGATCATGTAGACGTAGCTATGTCCGCTCTCCATTGTTTTGCTTAGATTTTTAACTCTCTTCAATTAAAGGATTAGCTGCTGCTATTTTGAGACGGGTGCTGTTCTCCTGCCAGCTGATGAGTAATTAGACAGTAGGACTGTAATTAACATGAGAGTCTCTACTGACAAAGCCTGCGGAGCTGGTGTCAAGCTAGGCCACCCTGCTAGCATCACACCTGCGCTAGGTACATTCTTATGATTTTAAACCATCTTCGGTGCCTGCATGTAATTAGCTTGAAGCGTTTAAAATATCTTCGTTGCTAACATTTTCTAGCAATTAAATGAATCCAGGTGTATGCTGGATAGGCTACGTAAGCTCTTATGCTGGTGTGAAAGAGATTCAGAAAAAAGCAATATTGCATTCATAAAAAATTAATATCATAGGAAGTTCATTTCTAAGACAGGCAGGATTTTCTATTGTCATCAGTGAGGTTATTGTTGTCTTATTGTGTTGGGCTAGTAATAACAACAATACATTACCGTGAACTTTATGATAACAGACCTCTAGACTGGTTGACCATTCTCTCCAAAAATCAGCCATACAATGCAGCAGATTAAACAACTTTCAGACCTATTTTACTTGCATAATGTAACATATTGCAAGGATATTTTGCAAGGTACAGACTGAATTGATTGTGAAAATTGACCATTATATCAGGTGTTTAAAGGAAAGAAGCTCTTTTGGGTTAGGGTTTTTTTTTTTTTTCGCTCCACTTATATACTATCCTCCCCATTAGACTGGTTTGGGTCATAATTCTTTGGAAGAGAAGTAGATGATCACCACTCAGGCTCATGCATAATTTTAAACATAAAAAAAACCCTTTAGAAGTTCTAAAAATAGCGCTGGCTAATTCGGCCAGGTAAATTGGGTGATGAATGCGAGGTCTTTGAGGAGCCTATAGATCTCTCAGCTGGCAGTAATACAATTTTCATGAAAATGTGAATTAATTATACCTGTGGTTAATGGAATTTTAGAGGAGCTTTCGGAGCAACCAGGTGTCGTGGGATGGGATGGTGGGAGGAAGCCGTGGTTTGATGGATGAAGTAGAACTTTGCCCTGCAAAACCTGCCGTCCCACATTTGTGTTTGCTTTGACTGGGCCATCGCGCATCTGTCTACTCAACGTCTTAGTTCCTCCTGGCTAACCCGCTCCAGATGGTGCTTGAGCCTTAGATACACAAGAGCAGTTGTGCTTTTAATGACTGACCAATTTGTGGATTTTTGTTGTGCACTAATATGCAAGAGAAGGGTGAAAGAGACAAGAAAATAGACTGAATGGAGAAAAATATTTGTACACGTTTTATTTTTTACTAACTCCCTACAAGCACACTAAACAAAAGAAACACCATTATGAGCTCATGCTAGGATGAGCACAAATGTCTCAGCTTTAGGAAGCCAGCAGACATGTTTGACACTTGTTTAATTCAACACAATTAGCATGAGAAGCTTCAGTGAGTGTGAACTAGGTTTAGACAGATTAGATTTCTGCCGCTTCCTTCCATGCGGGCCGAGGGCAAGGCAAGAACTGTCCCTTCAAACACACACACACACACAGGCTCTGATGTAATAAAACACACACTCTTTGTAAATTTAATTAGCTGTGAAAAATCTAAGCTGAGGTCCGTATTTGACAGATGGACTCTGGGCAAAACGAACAGGTTTTAACATGCCAGGACTTTCCCATGGCTGAATTATAAGAAGTAGTTACACTTGAGTTCTTGCCAGCAAGATATATTATAATGATATGTTGTTTTATTAAATTTCACATGTCAGATTATTGGACTTGATATCATGAGAACGGCATTATTTGATTTGTCTATTGGGTGGGATCTCTTCAGACAGACTCTCTTGCATAACCCACAACATCCAAACAAAAAGAGTCGAAGTAGAGAAGAATATAAAACATCATGATTTGCAGAGTTAGCTGGCGTGAGCACACATTTTCCTCCGGAGACGTTTGGATTCACTTTCTCACAGACTGACCATTATAAAACTGCATATTCACACTAGTGACTAATACAACTACTCGGCTGGCCAGGTGTGGATTCAACTATTATAATATTTTCTTACCAAAAACGTTTTTGATTCTGTGGTCATGATATTTCAGATGAAATGCCCACAGTTGAGTCCGACTTGTTTCCTTATAAGGAAGCGTAATGCGGGTTGTTTTCTGGAAGCCAGAAAGTGGAGTTTCTCAGCCAGGGAATTCCCACGAGGAACTGGGGTTTTCCCTCAATCTCCTGTTTGTTATTGCTTTTAAAGGTGAAGTGTGAATTTTTTTTCTTGGTGTTTAACTATTTTCTCCTATCCTAATAAGCAGAGGCAACTATAAGTAAACTATTTGTAGGTTGATTTCCCAGGCAAGTATATACACTCTGTTAGTCTGTTGTGTTTTTGAAACATTGCTCTATTTATTTAAGAATTCTGACCTGCCTGGCATAGCAACAACTCAACCAATGGCGTGAGTTTGAGGTGGAACTTATTGATTGGCTGACCAATGGTAGACATGGAGTGTATTCAGGAAACCTATTGGAAAACAATCATTATTTTTGTTGAAATTGATATTTGATTGGTTGTAAAGTTGTGTAAGGGTCATGTATAGAAATTATTACTGTAGTAATAGTACTGTAGTCATCAGTTTCTTATTGCTCTAGTTTCTTTTACCCCCTCTCTCTCTTTCACAAAGCAGAAAGTGGTTAATAAATCACGAGGCGCTCATTAGTTCTGATCTGCAATCAGCTGGTGTGAGGGAAACTGATCCAGCCAAGCTTTCTGATCTCAAATCTCTGGCTGCTACACAGCTCTCTTATCTTCCTGCCATGTATATTTTAGTATAGCCAGAAAATCAGATCCGCACTCATTCAGCAGACTTCAGAAACAAAGACCTTATTTTTTAATACTGTTAAACTGAGTGAGGACTCTGTCTTACAAATACTGTACAAAAGGGAACAGACCGAGTTTGCAATTAGCTCTTTCTATGCTAAATGAGTTATGTAACAGTAATGCTGATCAACTTTATTAGAGTATCTAAAACACATCCTCTACTACAATGACATTATCCTGTATTTGTAGCCAGTTTTCTTTGGCACTAGCTCTACTGTAAATGTTAGTTCACTAGTGACATGTTTTGAAAATGGTGTATGGGATGAAATCAGTTTAAGATTATGACAGGATTTATTTCAGCTTCCCCCTGCACTAAAGAATCTCCCCAAGAACCACAGCTTCGCACTGTTCAATGTCAGTTTACTCACCCAGTTGACGTGGGATTGCATATTCCTCTCAAAAGAGTGTATTTGCGGCATTTAATCACATTGTTTTCTTATGCATTCAAAAATAGATCTCACTAGTGATTCTACATCCCATCGTGTGTGTATTACAGCTCTGATATTCCTGGATTTGACCAAATCACAGACAGCTCTGTCCACATTTTCTCCTCCATCTTCCAGTAACCCCTGACCACTCTCTCCCATCCTTCCTCTCAGACACACTCACGGGAATGACATCAGAACTCATGACTTCTTTATGAAGCATTCATTTTTCAATACAGCACACGTCTGAAATACACGTTTCCTTTCAAGCTATTTTCCCCCCCCCGGCACGGACTCCATGAAGTTAAATATCCTTCCTCATGCAATAAGCTCTTGTCTCCCATTCAGGAAATTAAATCGTCACATTGACTTTGCTTTATCAAATTGGGATTCATTAAAATTAATCTTTCGTTCTAATATTCACCTAGGGTCTTATGAGCTCAGTATGTGACACACAATAAGCCACTTTTAAAGTGATACTCCCTCTGTTCTGAGCTATATAGAAGTAATATGGTTCTCTCTCCTCAGGTTGATCTTGGATTCCTGCGCTTTGTCTCTGCAATCGGCACACAGGGAGCCATCTCTCAAGAAACCAAGAAGAAGTACTATGTGAAGTCCTACAAGGTGGATGTGAGCTCAAACGGAGAAGACTGGATAACTATTAAGGATGGCCCAAAACAGAAGGTGACTTGTTTGATTATTTTCATAAAGGTGCAGTGCATCCACTGTTTGAAAAACACGCTGCTTTGCTGATTTAACCAGTGTTGGCATGCCGGGCCACAGAAACAAAAAGCATTATGTCAGAACTACTATATGCACTTCAACAACAATGTAGATTCTGCTTTTAAACTTCCACTGTAAATGCATTGCTGTAAACACAATTTATGTTTGTTTTTAGAAACTAAGCAACCAGATTTTCTAACTCATTTTGGACCTGGAACATTCCCTAACCGTTAAATATTTTAAATATTCATATAACAATGAAGTAGTGTTAGAATGTCCTGCTAAGAGCTCAGGTTTGATTTTGTACAGCTCATTTTCCACTAAACGATAAATAGGTCTATTTTCTCAGAAGTAATCCCTAACTAGGTACATTTCCAGTGCTCCTTGGCAGGAAGCCCTGTAAACATCTTGCGTTGTAGCGCTGTCACCGTGTGCATTCGTTACACCAATCCATGCTCCAGCTCCAGACGGGAATGCCACGCTCATGTGTTCTGCAGGGATTGTGTTTCTCTGACTCCATTATGTGCCCAGTGTGGTATGTTAATCCGCCCTCTTAAAAGACTGCAAGCACTGTAAAAACCCCAACTCCAAAGCCACCACAGTAGTCTGACTGATTTTCTTTTCTTCCCTTTAAGGAATGATGTCAACATTTGCGGTGGGGCTTTTTTTTTTTTTTTTTTCGTTGAAAGGAAAGAACAAAAGAGTTAATAAACAGAGAGTGGCTAATTGAGAGAGTGAGAGGAGAAGGCATTCTGGGAAGGTTTAGCAGGTCTAGAGTGTCTGAACAGCTGGTTGGACGCACTTGAGCACGTGACCCACTGAATGAGGGCCGAGGAGACGCTGATCGATTGCCCATCGGGTGAGCTGACTCTAATGTGTCCCTCAACACAGGACAGTTAACTACAGGAAGACATGCCTGTTACATTCGACACACTGGCTGTCTCTCGAAACCTTGTGAGAATCGTACCTAGACACCACGTTGGGAATCATAGCCATAGACAGGTTCATATAGAACAACATATGTGGAACTCATGACACCTGTCAAGGATCTTGTTAAAAACATTTTCTCTCCAAAATATTGGATATTACCTTAATGCAAACAAAGTGTAATGTGAAAAACATGATATATTGTATATATTATGCAAATGCAATGCAAATCTGAAATCATTCTAAAATAACGTTTCTTGCTAAATATAATTTCTTTTTCATATTCACTTGATTTTGATGCGGAATGATCCAAAGATTCGGTCTCTGAATGCAGCTTCATAGGTTTAAAGACACTTCCAGTGTGTGAAGTTTGTTTCACTCGTTTGTGAGCGTAGGCGTGTTCATATGCATGTTTATATCTGCTTGGCAGACATGCTCTAACAATACAATTTTTGAAATAGACCTGTCAAGCTAAGCAAGCCAATTAGATGGTCACGTACGTGTGTGTGTATGTGTGTGTGCGTACAGATCTTCATGCTTGGAAGTAACAGTGAGCTTAAATATACCCAAAGGCCCAATTTCTATGTCGACCCTCAACTGAAGTACACTGTTCTCTTTTTAGAGCGTGCATTTTTAAGGTGCGGTGCCTTGTTTCTGTCTGCTTGGCTCTAAAGTGCTTTTGTGAGGTGAGGGCCCATTTACAGACTGCTGAAACAGCAGTTCGACTGTGAGGTTGTTGCACCAAGAAAAGCCTTTTTACTACTTAGAGCAGTAGGGCAGAGCATTGGCGTGACATTTAAAGATAGTGGATGGCTCCTCATGTGTCTCCCTCCCAGACACACACGTTTTGAAAAGTAGTGCCCAGGGACACGATTAGCAGCATGGATTCTGGGATAGACGGATGGCTGAATGCCCTGACTTGGACTTAGCAACACTTGGCCATCCTGTACGGCTTATATTTTGACCTTGTCTTGTTTAGAATTGCAACATGGCATCATGACTTTGCGTAAACATACACGGCACTTTCAAGTCAAGTGGCGTGTTATCTATACGCATTTTGAGCTATCCACGTGTATGTCCACGCCGAAACGAACCGTCATCTTTTGCGCGTATGTCTACGCCGTTAAATGTCCGAGTGATTCCGCGTGTATGTACACGCCGTTAAATGTCCGAGCGAAACGAAGCAAAATGTAGATCTACATCTGGGGAGCGATATTTTTTTTCCTATGATAGTAGGGGAAGACTCATAAATGGTATTAACCCCAGTGACGGGTAGGTTTAGGGACGGGGTTGGGGTAGTTCATATATTTATATATACAGTAATGTAACGTTAAGTCAATGCCGTTGATAAACACGCTGAAAAGAGATTATGCGTGTTGATAGCACGCCAAAAATGGAAATACGAATTGGCGTGTCATACATACACCATTTCATGAGATCAGTCTGAGAATTGTGTATTGAATGTACTGATATTAAAGCAATACACTTAGAGAGAGAGGTTGGATTAACCATTGGTTAAGGTGGTTCCCAAAGTGTTAGTGTGGCCTAGATTGATTTCTTGCTTAGGAATACTGGAAAATCAGCTTTATATTCTTTGCCCTCTATAATACTTTTTTTTATCACTGAGGACACAAACCTACATAAATTATTAGCTCTTGACCCGACAGGTCAGTGGCATTAGTCAAATTTCTAAATGTCCTTTAGGTAATCAGGTGTGAAGACATGATACTATCAACAATTGCTGTTTGCTGATTCTTAACTCTCTTTAAGTTGATCTCATCTTAAAAGCAAAAAAAAACAGGAACTGAGAAAGTGAGAGAGAGAGAACCTTCAAGATGTACTTGTACAACAAGTGACAAGATGCTATGTACAACAAGGTTGAATTTGCCTTCATTTGTCTTTCTTGTAGCATATATCCAGATCCGCCCTTCACAGAGAACATGTGCTAGCTGTCAGCAAGTTTCAGTGCTCATGGACATAACACAATTTGATTCATCGCTATGTCTGTTGAAACAACAACAGAGACCATTGTAACTGAAGAGTCCAAATCATTCAGCGCTAGTTGTAACCCAGACTCTGACATCACAAAGTAGCTTTTGTATTGCTACACAGTTGGCTCCAGAGATAATCCAATTCAGGCTGTATTTAGGTTGTCACATTTGAAGACGGTGATCTAAACACATTCCTGTCATTTCTCTGTTTCAAGTGTTAGGTGAGTCCCAGGTCACAAAGGTCTGTCCTTGGTGGCTCCCTTAAACAAACCATGTTAATAATTAATGTTTGTTCTTCGTTTGTCAGATTTTCCAGGGTAACACCAACCCCACCGATGTAGCGAAAGCCGCGTTCCCCAAGCCCACGTTGACACGATACCTCCGGATCCGACCCTACTCCTGGGAGTCCGGCATCGCCCTGCGCTTCGAGGTGTATGGATGCAAAATCTCAGGTTGGTTTCAAAAGAACTGGTTCTTTTCGCTCGCCTAAAAACAAACTGTCAACGGCACAACTGGGATACATCCAAAAATTTAATTTAGAAGCAGAGTGTTAATTCAGATTTGGAAGCAGTTTTTTGTCAACACACCACTCCATCATGATCTTTCAATTAGATGGTTTACGTTTTGCTTGCTTTGGAGGCAGGCGTACGGAGAAGTGTTTATTCATGCCTCTGAAAGCCATGTGCGAACCGCGCATGTGCAATAGTCAAGGAGCTATTGCATTATAGACAAGTGTTCACGTCAACAAAAAGGACAGTGTATTCATGTTTCCCCACGTTTGGATGTACTTCATTCAAAATGAATGGCATGCACAGCATGCAACCTCTCCACTTCTACCCCATTTCTGCCTCTACCCTTCTCCTCTGAGCTTTAACCTCTCATCGGCTCACATACACAGATGTACATATTGCACATGCAATTGTGCACGCCGAGATCTACACCCACCAGCCGTAGTCAGGCCCAGCTGGCCCTGGCCTAATTTGCATACTCATCTGCATGTTTTGGCATGGCTCCACCCTACAGAGCTTTGATTGCAAAGGCTTTCGTATCATCAGTGCCTCCCTGCTGAGAACATTTCCTCATATGTGTAGGAGGAGGGCGAGTTTGTTTTCCATCACGCACCGTCTATCAGCTTTATATTCAACATGCATAGAGGGTGTATTTTTTAGACTCTGTGTGTGTGTGTACACAGATTTAGCACTGGTTGTATATTTGTGTGTGTATGTGTGCGGTTCACCGCCGATCTGGAGCGCAGCTGTTGCAGTCATGTTTTGGACGGGTGAACAGACCGCATTCTAAACACATCACAAGAGCGAAGGCCTCCCAGTGACATCATCAGTGTGCATCGGGCTTCCTTGTGATGATGCGGCCAAGCTGGGCGACTGCTTAGAAAAGAATGTCCCCCTAGTTTCCCTTACCCTTTTTTTTTTTTTTTTGTACAAGGTGCCATGTTAAACATAATGTAACATAAAAAAACATAAAGACCATGTTTCTGGATATTTACCAGTATATACTACCAAGAATACCATGGTGCATGTCCAAAAAACATGAAAGTACCCTGGAGTACCATATTTATTTAGTACAAAGGAATAGGTCAAAATACCATAGTATTACTATTTGATGCCAGTACTGTTTGCAAGGGCATATACCAAGGAAATGTACTTGTTAGATACCAATATGATAACCATTCATTACCATGGTAAGTATTAAAGTACCAAGGTATTACATTGACTTTACCTAAGTACTATTCCTGGGCACTATGATTGTTAGCACTGTACACACAGAGGATGCCGGCTGGCAGTTAGAAGGTGGTCTGATAGGCTTTCCACAGCCATTAATAAACTTCCTCCCGCTGTTTGTAAATAAAACCATCTGTGTGTGTGGTCATCCAGCCTTTATGTGCTGTGCACAGACCAAACCAACAAATGAAACACGTGATGCATATCAACCAGTCCACCCTCAGGGTGTGTCTGTCAGGGTCTACCACACCAGGAGCTTCTACCAAGCATCCCCATCTGAGGTCCATAAACAGGTCCGGAAGACAGTGCCAGCCAGCGGATTGAAAATAAACTTGGTTGACTTCCAAACTTTGAGGTCCAACCACCCCAGTGCAGATCTTTTTCATTCAGATCCCGACACAATTCAGCATGCATATATCAGAAATTATACACAGAGACATCTTGCGAATCTGGCAAGGGTATGAGAAACCCAACCTTGGCTGTACATCCACAAACAAACATAGGGAAAATCAAAGTCCCATGCATTTGTTGTTTTAGGAGCCTGGAACTCACATTTGGACTCTGTGCAACTCCTGAAGGGGTCACAGACAAGTGCTCTTTCCGTTCCAGAACTACAGAGGAAGTTCCCTACATCAGTACAAAGACAGTGTTGTGAATGAAAACTCTGTTCTGGTGGTATTTCACGGGACATTAGGTCCATCTGTGACTAGTCCAAGATTGTCTCTGACGCTTTCCTGCTTCACGGGTGCTGATCGTAGATTAAGGTACCGCTGGCAGGTCACGAATCCCACAGCGTTGAAGAAGCTGTGACACGCAACTCACAGACAGTCAGTTGGTCGGCGCTGCATGTCTGATAATTTCCCTCAAATTCAACATGCCTTTACCTAAAAGTAGCAAAGCGTGAAAAATCTTATTATCAACAGCGGAACAAAGAAAGTCAGTTTGTAGAGATGAAGATAGATTACAAGAAGGATGAAGGAGGTGAATAAGAAAGCAGGTGAAAAACAAAAGAGAATGAAGGTAGGAGTGGAGCAGGACTGAGGATGAGAGCAAGAAACTGTTCGGAAATTAAAGGTAGAAGCTCTAGAGAAAGGCTTTAATTAGGTAGCTTGAGAAAAAGAGTTAATGCACAAGGTCATTGGTGAAAGGATGATGGAGAGAGAGAGAAACAAAGAGAACAAGAGGCTTCTTATCTCTTCTGTCCACTTCATCTGTCTTTCCTGTGCAATGAATGTCTTTCCTTCTCTCTTTGTTCAGGCTCTTTATGGCCTGTGACCTTTTTAGGTTGTTGGTAAGAATGTTTCCCAGCTCACTGAGACGTGACCGTTTCTACCAAGTTTATCAGCCAACATAATTTTTTCTTCTCTTTTCTTTCTCTTTCACTCAGACTCATCCACTTACAGCTAATCTAATCTTTGCTAACTTCCCTCTCCACTATGTACTCAAACAACTCTCTCTTTCTCCGTGGCCATGTGTTTTATTGGCATGACAAATAATGGTACAATTGTTTTGCCACTGCAGTGGCAGGTTAGACAACAATCTAAGGGATCAGGTCAAGGGATCAGGATATGGCTGGTTCGGTTGGGTTGGGTGCCATAACTACACAATCCGTGTCCGAATGCATCTTTCTCCATTGATCGCCATTCAAAGGTTTTTTGAAGGCTCTTAAAAACATGAAATGTGCTTAGGTTAGTCAGTAGGGAAGGGTTTAAAACTTTCTTCAATCTAACAATTACCTTTGTCCCTCAACAGAGTACCCATGTTCAGGAATGTTGGGAATGGTCTCAGGCCTCATCGCAGACTCTCAGATCACAGTCTCTTCCCACACCGAGCGCACATGGGTGTCAGAGAACGCTCGTCTGCTGACCAGCCGTTCGGGATGGACGTTGTTGCCACAGCCCCAGCCGTATGCGGACGAGTGGCTACAGATAGATTTGACCGAGGAGAAATTGGTCAGAGGTTTGATCATCCAGGGAGGCAAACACCGTGATAACAAGGTCTTCATGAAGAAGTTTCGGCTGGGCTACAGCAACAACGGATCTGACTGGAAAATGGTGATGGATGCCACTGGCAACAAGCCCAAGGTAAGATATGGGGAAGCTGGAAGGTAGTTGGACATACACTGGATGCTCATTTAAAATGGTTCTGAATCACTATGCGGTTCTTAAGTGCTAGTCTGAGATTGTTTAGCCTGACTTTCAGGAAATGACTGAGTTTAAGAAAGTTGAATGTGGCGCTATAATATATTCTTCCCAAAGCCTTTAGATGGGCAGAGGAGAGAATGACAATAATTAGACTAATGCTGTGAGCTTAAATTTGGGAAATGTCTCAAACGCATTCAACAATACTACTAATAAATTTAACCCTAACAATAGTCGTAAGACAAAACAAAATAATGTTACACATATGTACGGTACAGTCAGGCAACTGCACACATTATCCTGTTTGGTCTTAAACCAAAAATAAATAAATGAATAATTTGACTTAAAAGTATTACGCGAGAAGAAGAGACCATGTAGTGATATTAGAAACATAAAAACTGCTATGTAGCAAATCAGATAACTTCAACTAGAGATGCACAGATATGAACATTTTGGCCGATACCGATAATTCTTTATATTCGAAAGCCGATAACTGATATATTGGCCCATAAATCTAAATCCAAATTTTTATATAATTTCTGTGACCCTGATTACAAAAACAAAAGTCACCATTAAAACCTATGTCCCAAGCACACAATTATAATGATGTTCTGTTCTCATTATAATTTGATGTAGCTTTTATGTCAGACTTGTGCTGCACATGAACTGTATTTTCCTTTTTGATGTGATTTCAATCATATTTCAAGCAATTCAAAACCATCATGGTGAACAGTGCGCATCTGAAATGTAATCCATTATTTATCGGCTTTAAGATATTTTCCAAATTTTCTTATCAGGCCGATAACGATAACATTACAAATGAACATATATCGGCCGATACCGATATGGTGGGTGATATATCATGCATCCCACTAAAACAATGATCAAGTACATAGTATAGTGCTCATTAGCAATCATGATCATCATACATGAAACCGGCAAATAGCAAAAAAAATCGACACATGAATCACATAAAATTTGTCTCTTTTTTGTGGAGCATAGACTATGTGCCTTATCACCTATCAAAAAAAAAAAAGGAAATTGGAGCATCAGTCCTAGAAGGCCCCTTTCAAAACCCTCATATCTCTTTTTTAGCTTGAAGGACAAAAGGAGACATATTAGCTCTGATGGCCATTAATGTTCTTTCATGACTCCTCATCTTGTTCTGTGCCTCTTTGTTACCTCTGGCGAGTGTCTTTCTGTCTTTTCCTCTTTTTTTTCCGTCTGTCTCCTGTGGTACCTTGTGTCTGGGTTGTAAGACTTCAGAAGTGTAAAGTCAAAGGCGGATGCTTTTGAAAAGCTGAGCATCCTGCTGTCGTAGACTGCAGTTTTAGCCCGCAGCCTTTATTTTTTGAGCTAGCTCAGCCGTACGATGTCAGAAATAAAGTTGAAGACTTTCTTTTCTCTAGTGCTTTTGTTGCATTAGACATACAGCAGAGCCCAAGTTAAGAAAGGTGTGAGATGTGAGCTCGTTCTCTTTCATTAATTCTCTGTTCTCTGCTTTCCCTGTCAGACTACTCTTAATAAAACTTTCCCCTTTATCTTTTTCCATTTTTTTATCTTTCTGAGTTCTCCTTCTCTGCTTGACTGCTAACTATAGTCTTGGACTTTGTCATTGTTCTTGGCAGATTTTTGAGGGGAATTTGAACTATGACACACCAGCATTGAGGACGGTGGAGCCTATATTGACACGCTTTGTTAGGGTGTACCCAGACAGAGCCACTCCTGCTGGGATGGGACTTAGACTGGAACTCCTGGGCTGTGAAATGGAAGGTAGGTTGAAAACTCATTAACTTGTCAAGTCAAGTCACCTTTATTTATATAGCGCTTTTTACAATACAGATTGTTTCAACGCAGCTTTACAGAGAAAATAATGTTGTAATAATATTGTTAAATATAAAATTAAATGTCCCCAACTAAGCAAGCCAAAAGCCAATGGCGACAAAGGTACAAACAAACACACACACACACACACCACTGCTGAGGAGTACTCAAATACTAACGCAAGTACATTTTTCAGTTTTCAGCAACTGTTGATCAGCTGTTTTCAAGGTAGTGTAACTTTAGTGTAGCAAGTTAATTATTCGTAGCATTCTGCACAGCACATTTAGCCCATTTTCAGTCTCATTGCATTACCCACAACTTTGTAATCAAGCAAGCTAAACCAATAATCTTGTATGTGAATCATAAGTGAATCATAATCTGGGGTGCGTTTCCCATACAACTCGCTACTCGCTGATTTACTACCATAGTATGATGCATCGTTGAAGAAATCATCTAGCTTTTTCACAAAACCATATTGTCGCAAATTGGTTGTTCAACCACGTTAGTTAATGATGTCACGCAGGTGGCGGAGTGATAACTTCTTTTAATGAATACAAATTTTTGCTATAAATTATAGACATTGCATCTAAGGACAAATTCTCATTTTGATTTATTTCCAGATTCAATCATAGGCTCATTCTTACGTACTGAAGCACGTACGCATCTTCAAAAACAGCGCTTTAAAACTCTTGAGAAACAAGACGTAAACGACATTTGTATGTATTCTAAATAAAAGATAAAGATTGTACTGAATGTCAGCTTACTTATTTTGCTCAAGATAAGGATTTGTTAAGTCATGCAAACAAGAAACTCTGCTTCTAACCACAGGACGAGTGCTGTCGTTCCAACCACACAATTTTGCAATGCTGTTCGTTGGAACTATGGTTTCGGGAAACACTTGTTACTCTATGATGATAGCGACGGAACTTACGCCATAGTTGGCTAACAATGCTTTTGGGAAACGCAAGATGACAAGATGATTCAGTGATTAATTAGCGTCCATGCTCAGAAGATACTTCTCTCTTAAATAACTTCACTTTGCTGATACCTTTTACTCTGCTGAGAAATGATTTTGTATACGCCCTATTGTAGCTAGGAAATTATGGGTAGCTTTATATGTAGCATTTTCCGAGTAACGTCCTCAACAGTGATTCATACACATGATGGACAGACCCGCTGCACTCCGAAGACAAATTGTCTAAAGCAAGTGAACAAAAGACAAACAAAATGATAGAGTCCTCAAGTGTGTGGTCATATAGTACAGATGCTGTTTCATTAAATTTGGACTTATCCACTCAGGAGAACAGGGTATGGCTTAGCTTTCTTCATAATTACTTGTCCCGCCGATGCGCCATCAAAGGACGTCTCCTACATAGTAAAGCAGGGGCCTGTGACACTCCTAAATAACAGGACTCCTCACAGCTGGAGATAATCTTTGGTCCACCTGCCTTGAAGGATTACGGAAAGGTCCTTGATGTCTTTCCCTCTGTCTTTCTTTCTGAATTAGTTTAGCTCTGATGGGGGGGTGTGTGTGTGTTTTCTGTTGAGGCAGCGTTAAGTGGATTTACATATTGGATTTCCGAGAGACTGTGAGACTTGCTTGTGTAAGCCATAGCATCCCATCGGGAGCTTTAGTCAGATGATAATGCTTGTTTTCACTTTTAACGCCAGCACAGTCCAACACTCTGTATATTTCTCTATCTTAGCTAAAACTCTCACAATCAAACAAGTGACCCCTTACACACACGTGCGCACTCCTAACAGCGGGCCGCCGAGTCCTAGCAGGAGTGTGTGATCAACAATGCAGTCCAGAGCCAGCATGATGACCTCTCCGCGACCTCTCGGCTTTAGAGACTCTCTTTAAAATGCCCTCGGTTCACCCGCACAGCTTACACTACAGCTCCCGTTTCCCCCTCTCCCGCCCTGCTCATTTTTTCCCTCCTTCCATCCCGGGAAAGCCCTACAGGCTTATGGGCAGCTCATTACAAGCTGAGAGTAAACACAGGGCTTTAGGCAGATGTAGGCAAAGGCCACATCCAAAGGGGCACGGGCCGCCATAATGAGAGGACACAGCCGTTTCAGGCCCAGGGTGGAGCATAACATCCTCAACCCTGCAGCCGAAACCAGTCACGCACAGGACTGAATCAAAGGGCCACAGACTTGGAAAGACTACAGAAAGAGCATAATCATTAAGATGATTTGTGGATAGGGGACGCAGTCGATCCGTACGGACCAGGCCCCATGCTTCGGCACGCATGTGAATCGCGGATTAACTGCTTAATTTAACCATCGTAGAGTGAAAGTTTATAGTTTGGACGTGTTTTGTCTTGCCAATTTACACATTCAAACAATTTTAAATGCGGACGAAGAGGCGTAAATCGGGACTCGCGCGTTTCAGACAGCGCCTGAACACCGAATTGATTCCTCTTTCGCGTTTCCTTGAACGGACACACAAAATGATGTCTAAATACTTGTCTAATGGCTCTTTTCCACTGCTGGTACGGCTCGGTTCGGCTCGGTACGGTTCGACTCGGCGCGAAACGGTTCGGCTTGCTTCGCTTTTCCACTGCGTGGTACGACTCGACTCGGTACGGCACGGTTCGGTTCGCTTTAGCTCGGTTGCTTTTCCACCGCAGTTAGTACCCCTTCAAAGTGGGTGGGACTGATCGTTATTTTGTCCCTACACTGTTTGTAGGTCCGGTGATAGCCGTGTGCGGCTAAGAGCTGAGCTACTTCTTGGAACACTTTTTCATTCCGTTTTGCCCCATCCAGCTCTCGCTGGATCCGCTCCTCGGCAACCAACGAGAGGAACGTCTGCACCTCGTCCACTGACCACGATTCAGCCATTTCTTTTTAAAGTTTAAAAAACAGATGCTACCGCGTTGGCTGTTGTCTACTGGTTATTTAAATCTAGCGGGTTTAGTGTCTCGTGTCGCAAATCCAATGACGCTGGTAGTGACGATTCTGTCTGACCAATCAGTGATCTGCAGAGTTTTTACGTCACATTTTAGTACCGGTACGGTACGCTTGGAACCTCAACAGACCAGGTACCATTTAAAGCGAGCCGAAGCGAGCCGTACCGTACCATGCAGTGGAAAAGCACCACAACACAAGTGAGCCGTACCGAACCAAACCGTACCGTACTATGCAGTGGAAAAGCGCCAAAGCGTGCCGTACCGAACCGAACCATACCGTACTATGCAGTGGAAAAGCGCCAAAGCGTGCCGTACCGAACCGAACCATACCGTACTATGCAGTGGAAAAGCGCCATAAATACCCGTCTCGGCAAGAGTTCTCTCGGTTATGTCATAAGTGAACAATTGAGAAAGAAACCGGATGTTTGTCCGTTTTTTCTGTCCGTGGATTCGGTCTTAAAGTGACTTGCAGACACCTCATATTCCTACTGTTGTCTGTGTCATAAATGTTAATAAATCAAGGTTATGAAATAGTTTACCACAATATATTAGATTATTATCAACCCTTAGTGAGTTCAAAACACATTTAAAAACATATTTTTCCACACTGGCTTTTGATCATACATGAGTGTTGAGGTACTGTTGTCACAGATGTCGGATGTGTTAGGTGTATTTAAGATTTCTATGAGTCTGTGGGTCTAACAATCTGACAGTATACTATATTGTGCAGCACTATGGTCAACATTGTTGTATTATTATGTGCTTTATAAATAAATTGGAATTGGAATTAATATAACAAAATACAGCTTTAACAAAGATGAAACTATATTTCATTTCTACAGTGAACAAATAGTGTTATTTTACATTTAGGCTTAATTATTAGTTTATATACCTGAATACTACTGTTAGACTTTGTAACTTTGTTATTTAGTATTCAACTCTGCTTGTAATGTGTGTATTTGTTCTTATTTTATTACTGACTGTTCACTTGTCTTTATGAATGTTTGAACTTTATCAGTTAGGTTAGTAGTTTTTGATGTGGTATCGAAGAACTTCAAGTGAGCTTTAATTAATGAATAAATGAAAAGCGAAGTAACACCCCCTCCATATAGGCCTATATATATATAAAAAATATATATATTTCTTTGCTGATCTGAAAAATTATCAGATCCGTGACTCAAAAACTCAAAAAGTGAATTTTGTGATCCGTTGCACCACTATTTGTGGAGTGACCTACAAAAAAATACATACATGGGCATTCGGTTAATATCAATGATATGCCATGGTTTTTGTGACTTGTTGCTTTATTGCGTGACACTTGAGACATCTGTCTTTCTCTCTGCAGTGCCCACAGTGCCTCCGACTACACCCGCGTCCTCCACCACACCTTCAGACGAGTGTGATGATGACCAGGCAAACTGCCATAGTGGAACAGGTGATGACTACGACCAGACAGGTGCTAACACTCGCCTGCAGAGACTGCACCCTAGCTTACTGCATCTTGCTCCCTTTGCTATGCTAATCTCACTAGACTAATTGTCCCCGTTGCTTCTGCAAACACAAGCCGCTTTTCTGCACTAAACACTCCTCACCCAATCCTCACTTCCCCCATAACCACACTTACCATACTACTCATGCTAGAAATTAAGTATACAGTGCATGGTATGCAAATTTTCTGTATGCATCTCATATTGAAACAAAGTACTGCATTTGCCAAATGTGCTCCACTTGACCTTCCATTTCATTATAAAAGCCAGACAGTGATGAATGAACGGCGAGCGATATCAAATGCAATCTCAACATCTACTTTGTGACTTCGTGGTCTGCCAAAAGTTAGGGGTTTTTAATACAAAATTGGATTAAAAATGCAAATTTACTGCATTTATTTATGAGATGCCCCACAATAGCATTCAGTTTAAATGGTTCATTATCCTTGAATACTACATACTGCTTCACATTCGTTTAAAAACAGCTGTATACATTTTTGTATGTAGAATTCAACATGTAAGGTCATGTACATACAGTAACAGCAATAAAGGATGCTAAATTTACTGTTTGCTTACATACTTCTTTACATAATATTGAGGAATTAGTATGCAGTATCCAGTATATAGGAAGTTATTATTCCATTCCAACTCATTCCATTTCATAACTCATACCATTTCTCATAAAATAAAAAGTTGCTGTACCAGTACCTCACCGTAGGTAGTATACAGTACCATAGTATCCATTCAACACAGCCATAGCCTGCACTATTAAATTCTTCCTCTGCTCTTCTTCAGTTGCTAAAACTAACACTAGATTTAACATTCTGCCTCTAATCTCCTGTGTGTTCACATCAGTGCAGTCTCACAGAGTGTGTGTTGCACAGAATTACACTCCCCTCTGTTAGATGCTCAAAGTAAAGGTTCCACATGAAGAAACATGTATTTGCATGTCTCATCTGGCAAAGCACATTTAAAAAAAATGCTAAGCGCACACAAAGAGGGGAATTAGCACAGTCAGATCCGTTCCTCCTGATAATGCCCGAATAAAACATTACCCAGTGTCTCGCTTTAACGTTTCATCTAATGGCCTTCACTGTGTTCACACTACAGGAGGAACCACTGCGCCAGAGACGACCACAGAGATGAGCACCATTCCAGGTGAGAAAGGTACTTATCCTATAATACTTCCCTTCTTTGTGCACTCGCTATCTGTAATTTCTTTAATCATCCTGGATTTTGCTAATGCAAACTCTCTTAAAGGTGCGGCGTGCCATTTTTGTGCCTCCCCGGTTCAATTTGCAGAAACCACTATAAGAATACAGATCATTGGTCACTTCCATGAAACACTATTTAAAATAATTGTGTATCGTATGTGGTCCAGCATGAGTTTGAGGTGGAACTACTTGTTTTGTCTGAACAACAACAAAAAAGGGATGCTGAATTAATGTACCTTATTTGACTTGTTTGAGAAGCAATAAACATTTTGGGAAATTACAGAAATTACACACTGCACCTTTAAGAACGCAAATTCTTATTGTATGTTTTGTGTGTTCTGTTTGGTTGTTTAGGCTATTTGATTATAAGTGAGATGAGTATGTAATCTTGTTTGTGAAGTGTTCTTGTGAAAATCTATAAAGAGCCCCTTTGATTTGCTCATTCAGCATAATGACTGATTAGCCATTCAAGACTGCTCACTAATGGGCAAATGAGAACTGCCCCTTAACTGACCTTGCCTAATTAGCCAGTGTGTGTGTGTGTGTTTGGCCCTGTCTGAGCTTCATCACAACATCAAAACAACTGAATAGAATGACGGTTCTAATAAGTGTGCGTGCGTGCGTGCCTACCAGCTTTGAATGCTTGTCATAGCAAATAAACCACATCCAATAATAGAAAGCGCACACATCTACTCAATGGTAACCAACCAGGACCCCACACGCACGCGCGCGCAAGCACAGTGGGGTCCTGGTTGATTACCATTGAGTAGATGTGCGTGCTTTCTATTATTGGATGTGGTTTATTTGCTATGACAAGCATTCAAAGCTGGTATAGCGTTCTGGACTGCGGTGTACGTACCCTCGCTCTGTCCTCCACTGCGTCAGACACAATCCATTTCAAGATGGAAAAGAAGAAATAACTTTTAATTGGAAACTGGCATTTTTTGCAGCGGCAGTGCCTGAGCTGCGGCTTTTAATGGGAAATTCTTTCCTCCGCATTCAGTGAGCAAATACCCTCCGAAACTCGCAGAGAATCCTGGCATTATTAAGCGATGCTTTATTAAACTGTCTAGAGAAGAAGCGCTGAGGATCTGCAGACACCGGTGTAGCTGACATACTAGAAGAGCTTCTGCTTCTCTGTCCATCTCAATTCTCTCTCTCTCTCTCTCTCTCTCTGGCTCTGTATCTCTCACTCAATCTAACTATCCGTTAAATCCCTCCCTCGTTTTTTCACGTCAATCTCGATTTCAAAGCTTCATTGTTTTATATGGTGTGTATTCTCTCTCAAGATCTAGCTATATTTGGTGTATAAATGTGGATTTGGCTCAGGCATAAAAGAAGTTGGAATGGATTTGGAAATGCTCATGCATAAATGTTGGGATTTTCGAATTGTAAAATAACTCTCTATTGCCATCAAGTGGACAATATAAGACATTGTGTTGTGGCCTATGGAGTCGAATCAGCCATATTCAACCACAAGTTACTGTAAGACCGCATTCAAAGATCAAGTTAAGACAGTTTCTTGAAAAATGAAATAAAATCAAACCCTCTTAAATTTCCTGCTCAGACGAAGACACATTCAATTGAGATATATATATAAAAAAAGAAACCGATCATGACAATATTTTCTGTCATATATAAACCACTGAAATGAATAGGCAGACATATTTACTTTTTTGTTTGAGAGCCGTGAGGTAATGCTTAAAATAATTTCACAGTGATAAAACAATTTTAAAAAATCATAATGGTATTATATCGTACACAACCGTTCAATAATATTAACAAAGATATTTATAATGTTACAAAAGATTTTATTTCAAATAAATTTCTATTCATCAAATAATCCTGAAAATTTAAATGTATGATGGTTTCCTCAAAAATATGAAGCTGTTTTCAACACTGATAATAATCATAAATGTTTCTTGAGCATCAGATCATCATATTAGAGTGATTTCTGAAGGATCATGTGACACTGAAGACTGGAGTAATGATGCTGAAAATTCAGCTTTTATCACAGGAATAAATTACACTTTACTATATATTCACATTGAAAACAGCTGATTTACATTAGAATAATATTTCACAGTTTGTACCATATTTTTGATCAAATAAATGCAGCTTGATGAGCAGAAGAGACGCCTTTCAGAAACATTAAACAATCTTACCAAACCCTAATTGTACATGAATTGGATCATATTTATTAATATATTATATTTCAGAATAGTAAAATATATTCATATAATTATAATAATATTATCATTGATTAATTATAATAAATATAAATAATAGTTATTATGAAATATATTATAAAAAATATTCTGTTAAAAAAAGAGACTGTTTGCATGTCACTGATTTGGTAATATAAGTAAAAGTGCATAATAGTAATCTTCTCCTGTGTGTGTGTGTGTGTGTTTGTGTGTGTGTGTGTGTAGTGTTCCTGTGGTTTGCCTGTGACTTCGGCTGGGCCAGCGATCCCTCGTTCTGCGGCTGGAAGTCAGAGGACAGTGGCTTCAGGTGGCAGATCCAGTCCAGCGGCACCCCGACCCTAAACACCGGCCCAAACATGGACCACACTGGTAAGAGAAGAAGTCAACCCATAGATCTCACAGCACAGAGTGTGAATCCTCCAAAGCTCACACACACTTCTGCCTCAGGTGGATTGGGGAACTTCATCTACACACTGGCGACCGGAGCGCAGGAGACAGAAGTGGCTCGGTTAGTGAGTCCGTCGGTGTCGGGACAGGACTCGGACCTGTGCTTGTCTTTCTGGTACCACATGTTTGGGTCCCACATCGGCACGCTCCACATTAAACAGCGCAGAGAGACGAGCCAGGGCTCAGCGGACGTCCTGCTCTGGACCGTCAGTGGACATCAAGGCAACCGCTGGAGAGAGGGCCGTGTGCTGATCCCCCACTCCAGCAAACCCTACCAGGTACAGTGGCGGAGCCAGAACTTTTCCATAGGGGTAGACAGCAAACAGTCTGGGTGGCACATAAATCTTAATTATTTTTACATAATAATTAGTTTAAATAATGTATTGGACTGTTCCTACACAACTGAATACAGTTCATTTGTATTCAATTGTAATTGAGAGAGTAGTGAATTAGGAATCATGGAATACTGAGTGAATTTGATATTTTTTTATTATTATTAGCTACTCACCACCTCCAGGCAAATTAATAAAGGGGACACACACTATAGCTAAAGTTCTTTAGTCATATAGTAAACTTGCTCAGTTAGCATGGTTCTGGTTCTCAAAACCCCCAACATTGTTGCACCTTCATGGATGAGACATGCAGATAACTACTGTAGTTCAAAGATTATACCCTTCATTGAATTTTATATAATCAATTAACTCTTCAACTTTCTATATTAGTAGTCAAAATAAAGAATCTAAACCGTTCTATTATACCTAATTTAATTAAAAAGGAGGGAAACATCTCTTTTGAATCGCTATGTGCAAAGAATGTGAACAAGGCGGAAGTCAACATGCACATAAATGGCAGAATGTAAAATTAGTTATTTTATGGATTTAAAAATTATGCATTTTATTTTGTCCTTTACAAATTACCGCCTATCTTCTGGTACAAATGCACAGTGCTCACATTTATTTGTACATTAAAAAACCACATAGCCTATCAGTTTGTGCCTTAAACATGGCAGAATATCATTGTAACGCATATATATAACAAATACATACATGCATGCAGTTTTGACACAGATTTTATCGCCTTTTTGATTATTTCATGAGTTAATTGACAACAGAACTACGGATACAGCACGCCACATTTGCGCGTGATGTGCAAGTACAGTACACCGTCTGACAGGACTGTAAAAAGTTAGTTTTACTGACATTTATTTACAACATCTCATCTTACCGCAGATAGCCAACTGATTCAGGACAACGCGCTTTTCTCCGCATCTGACGGAAGTGTCACAAGCTTTCACACAGATCTTTCAAAATAAAAGTAGAATCAGAAAAAAAGAGAATTACGTTGTTGTTTCTTTGACTGGACATATGCGACTCACTCAAAACGGTCTTGCAACCCACCAGTTGAGGAGCATCGACTCTATATTTACGATGCTGCTGAAGCTTATTCGGCACCTGTACATTTCCGCACTCATTTGACTTGCGCCTGGCGCTGAGGTGAAGGTGGAGTGCGCGAGCGTCTGAAAAGTCTCACGTTTTTTGTGGTTGTAAGATACGGTTCTGTGTTTTAAAAACGCAATTCTTGTAAAAAAGAATTAAAAAAGAGAGAGAGAGACAGAAACGGCAGTTGTGAGAAGGGTGGCCAAGCTTAAAGTCCCCATGAATTCAAAATTGACCATACTTACTTTGTTTGCCTAAATTGATCGTTTTGTGGTGAACAATTCATCCATGCAAGTCAATCCACACAAAAAAATTTTTTGGCTTCATAATCTTTAATCAAAATCTGAAATTTCCCCTCCCCTCTGCGTTGGAGGACCTTCCCTGATGACGTAGGTTTGACGGTTTGGGCGTCTGTTTAACATCCGTAACCACGCCCCTCCAACTGACAGTAGGCAGGCTGAATGAAAACACCTACTTTTCTAGATCCAATCAGGTGCTAGTTGGGAAAAAAGCCACGCCCACCATTTTGCCTCATTTAGTATTCCGTTTCTCTCGGAAATACGTCACAACACTGGAGAAAAGTCGTTTGCAACTTCCGGTTCACGGGGACTTTAAGCCTGGCTCCGCCACTGATATTCAAGGATATACAGCGGCGTGTAACGATACCCTCATGTCACGATTCGATACATATCACGATACTGAACTCTTGATACGATATTATTGCGATACTCCAAGACATATGATAAAAGCTTAACAAAAAAATGTACTGTTGATTAAAATGCTAAATTTGATATTACATTGTGTGTGTGTGTAAACGAACAAGCTTGGACTTGGTGCTGATAAACCAAAGCACTAGCCTGGATGCCAGCCCGAACCCCGCCCACAACATTTTTTCGGTCGGGAAGTTCGGTCTGGACTCGATCCATTGAGGAGTAATTATGATCGGTTCAGAGATAGTCAGTCCAACCAAATTGCCAGGGCGGGCTTTATACGATTGTTATAAAGTTGAGACAGGGCCGACAAATGCGAGCAGATTTGTTTGCTTTATTGTCGAGATCTTTTTATTTCTCTCAAAAATGCTTTTTGTGTTTGCAAGTACAAACACTTTGTCCGCGAATCCTTGAATTCTTTTTACAACACCGGCAAAGATCGTTTACACATTATTTTACTACTTTTTCCAGCGTGTGTGCAGTTGAGTTCTGTTGACAACTATGCGTCGCTGCTCTGATTGGTTGTAGGTCTATCCAATTGACCGTTCGCAAAGACCCTGCCCCCCTTAGTTACTGTCGCTATGTCCGACAAGCTACGCTGCTCTCACACACACACACCATGTTCTCACGCAGTGAAAAATACATCACGGACTGACAACACGCTGACAGACAGGACAGACCAGGTTTCTTTTTGGTTACTTTTGATATTAAACATATTAAACAAAGTCTCACCTTTCAAATTTGGTCATTTTTTAAAAAGAAATTTAAACAATAAATACCGTTTTGTGACTCTTTAATGTGTCGTGACAGATCGCTGTAGAGCTGCTCGTGATCCGATCATCTCTTCCTTCATTTGTAGCATCAAATAAACATGAATGAACATCAGAAGGAATGTTGTTTTAACCGCAGAAAGGCATCAGTACACTTCGTTTTTCAAGTTCAAATCCTCCGATGTTAATCTACTAACTCTCCTGACTGCTTTGTCGGACAAAATGGCGGATGGCGAAGTATGATTGGTCAGATCACCTGTCAATCAAGCTCCCTGCGAAGGGTCAATTGAGTGCAGTTTTTTTTTTTTTTTTGGTTCGGTTAAGACACGCCTCATAATCAAAGCCCTATGGAGCAGCATCAGACTCATTCTGGCTAGAATATGAGTATGACGAAGTCAGGCTACCAAAGCACAGGACAATAGCGACACCAGAATAACAATATTCATGATTCTGAAGCTGAAAATACAGAATTATTTTTGACGAATATGCTTGCACTCTGTCACTGACTAGATAAATTTAAAATAACCCACAAATTTCCCCCTCCCCCATTGCATTATTATACATTATATTCAACATTATATAGCAGTTTCATGTAGTACTGACACTACAACTCTGAAAACTGGAATTTGTTCCTCGCACAGTAATTTTTATTTTGGGTGAACTATCCACGATACATATTGTTTCATTTTTGTATTGCGATATATTGTGACACGATATGTTGTTCCACCCCTACAGCGGCGTGTAACGCAGTCACTCCTACGGCACTTTTTCAGTTGTAGTCTTTTAAAAAGGCATCTGAAAATAATACACTATTAGGGGCTGTTTACACAACACCTTTTTCAACTAAAAACGTAAAACTTTTAATGCGTTTTGGCCGTTCGTGACACGACAACCGCTTTCGGGCGCCTGAAAACACAACGTTTTGAAAACGGGGGTAACACTTTATTGTACAGTGTCCTTGTTACATATGTTACATGTACTTACCATAGTAATAACAGTAAATTATGCATAATTACATGCAACTAACCCTCAACCAAACCCTATAATCCTACAGTAAGTACATGTTGTTAATTATTATTACTCAGTACTTAAATGTATAATTACATTGTAACAATGACACCTTAAAATAAAGTGTAACCAAAACGAGTTTCAAAGTGCAAGTTTTTAAAAACGCTCTTCGTGTAAACAACAGAAACACGAATCTCTGAAGACGATGACATCACGCACATGCGTATCACGTGTTCAGTCTACTGGCCTGGCGGCAGAATACAGCGCTTTTAGCCGTTTCCGCGGATCCGTGATCTGTACACGGAAAACTCAAAGAAAAAAACGTCTCCGCTTTAAGCATGTCGTTGTCGTGTAAACACCCTGAGTGCTATGTAGTGCTGTCAAAAATAATGATTTTTCAATACATATCGATACTGAAATATCTGAAACGCTTCCAATACTTATTTTCCGCAGAATAGATACACGATACCAGCTGTTCTTTCTTTCTCTCTCACCTCTCCGACAGCGAGTTACACACAACCCCGCCTCTCCTCACTCACTCGATTCATTTGCTCCGGATGAATATTGTTGGTGTCACAGGGCTTGTGTTTCGGCGTGGGATTGCGTGTATTGCACATAATTTCACTCATTCCTGCAGATTTTGTGCTTATACCCAAAGTACACGCACATAAAGCCATCTCTCAGAACTAAATTGAGTTATTTTTCACTGCTTATTGCGCTTTAACAGTCAAATACACACAAAATAATGTGAAAAAAAAAACAGTCTTGGCGAATATTCACTTAAATACCGTCAGTTATGTTTTAAGTGAATGTAAAGTTGAGAAAGAAAACGCACGTGTAACAGTATAATCAGGGGCGTTGCTAGACCCATTTTACTGGGGCACGTGCCCCAGTATAAATCTGCTGTGCCCCAGTAAATCTGAAGTTTGAGTTTAACAATTTATTTTATTTGTCAGTGTATTTAATATTAAATTATATTATAGGGTAATAGAAATTATCTATTTGCAACGCAGTAATAAACCTATCAATGCTTGTAAAAGCAACGCAGTTTAACCGAAACAGAACAGAAGCTGACCCACGCGACAGAAATCCGCGCGCGTCTGTGTTTCCTAGCAACAGCAGCGCGCACACATCTGAGCACACCGAAGTCCGGTGTTGGCACGCGAGGTAGGCTATGAAAACATGACGAAACAAAAGTTTCTAAATAATACAAATAATCTTAAAAGTAAAATTGAGTCAGAGTCAAGTGATTGACCGTTTTGCCAAAATGAAGCATAGGCGGTAGCCTGCAGTTTAATGCTCAACAACTTAGTTTGGACTTGGCTGGGGAACTTTGTTTTCTTTTAGAATATACATGCTCTTTATTTTATATAGTATATATTAACTCTTTATTGATTTATTGAAATGATGTAATTGTAAATTCTTGAAAAATGTAAAGGCTAATTATTCATTATTAACATTGTGTAATGTAGAAGAATGCAAATGTGCAAGAAAGTTTTCTCTCCGTTTTCTATTTTCATGCCTTTTATGGCACAAAAAAAAGAAATTCGTGTAACATGATTTTAAAGCTATTGTTATCCAATTTGTTGGCATTCAAACACCTTAAAATGCACATATGTAGGTCCGAGAAATCCAAATTTTCTCGGGGGAGCATGTCCCCGAACCCCCCTAAGTTACTCTACCCAGCATGGTGTTTTTGAAACAAACAAATTTTATTTATCTATCGGTATGCCCCGCCCTCCTTAGTTACGCTTGCTATCTCAGACAAACAATGGGGGGCCTGTGCCCCAGTAGAGCTTAATGTCTAGCAACGCCCCTGAGTATAATGGATCCGTGCATCAGGTCTTAAAGTGACAGTAGCCTAATATTCCTGCAGCCAAATTATGAGATAATAATAAAAATATCCATATGGCAGTTTTTCCCCATTGTATCGATGTCAAATAGTGGCCAGTGAAAATGCTGAGTGGCTTGAAACTTTGGAAAACCACTGAGCAAAAAAGTTAATGTCATTAGTGAATGTAAAAGATGATTGGCAGCTCGATGAAAATACTGTTGTTATTTGTTGCTCCAAACCTGTACGCTGTTATTATTTACACTGATTACATTTTAAACAATGTTGTTGTTTGCCCATATTTCAGGTGGTAATTGAAAGCGTAGTGGAGAGGAAAAGTTTGGGAGACATTGCCGTGGACGATATCAAAATCTTAGACAATCTGAACATGGACGACTGCAAGGGTGAGTCAATACAGAGCAAAACTTTACAGTGTCCTTATTACATGTACTTACTATAGTAATAACTATAACTAATGCATAATTACTGTACATGCAACTAACCCTAAACCAAACCCTAATCCATAACCCTATAGTAAGTATGTTGTTAATTAATATTACTCTGTACTTAAATGTGTAATTACACTGTAAAAGACACCTAAAAATAAGTGTAACCCAAAACTGACAAATTTGTCAAAATCTTTAAAAAATAAAAAAAAATAAGGCAAAATAAGTGAAAACATGTTAAAATATTTAAATAACATTCAATTAATTAATTTAAATATTTTTTCTAGTCAATTGTGATAAGTTGATGTATTATTATTATTATTATTATTATTATTATTATTATATTTACTAATAGTAATATATAACTGATTACATAATTTAAATCTTGACATAACTAGAAAAAATTCTATTCATCAAAAGAAATATGTGGTATAAAATATAGAATATATGGCTTTTTAAGATTTTATTAACTTTTCTGAGTCTAGAAATCACACTTTTAAAGTTCCCTCATATAAAAGTGAAAACCCTGGTTCTTAAATAAAAATGGCAGTTGTTGAGGGAACGTATTAAAATAAGAAATATTAAAGCTAAAAACAAGACTTGTAATGTTTATTTGGTCTTATTTGAAATCATTTAAGCCGTCGTGCAGCTGAGAGCCTCTGACTTAGATGACTATATATGCACGGCCGCATTAACAATAGGGCTAGGCGGGGCTAAAGCCCCGGGGCCCGAACAAGGAGGGGGCCCTTGATTGGCTGTGGAGCAGATACTACTACCCTTCTGATTGCCAAAGCCTTACCACGCAACGCCCCCCACAAATTAGCCCTGTTATTTAGTAGCGCTTTGCCGAATATTCCATGCATTATCATGGAATCATTATCATTAATATTATAGTGACCGTTCGCAAAGACCCGCCTTTTTTAGTTACTGTGTGACAAGCCAGGCGGCTCTCACGAGTCACGCACATTCTCACTCATGCACTGAAAAATACATCGCGGGGCAAAGACTAACGTTACACAATTGACTACGAGAGAGAGTTCAGAGCAGCTTACTGTTGATATGAAACAAAGTCTCAACTTTCAAATATTGTAATTTAAATAATTTAAACCATACCGTTTTCAAGTTCAAGTCCACCGACGTTAATCTACTGACAGCTTTGTTGTCTGACAAAATTGCGTATTCGGCGTTATGATTGGCCAGGTCGCCTGTCAATCAAACCCCCGTGGGCAGCAGGACAGGGCATGGTGAAATGAAACGTCACGTTTTAATTTAACATAATACATTTATTCTATATTTAACTTGTGAACGATCGACCTGCTGCTGCACATAGGCCTATAGATGGCTGCCTGGAGTGCCTGCGCCTTATAAGAATATAGCTACGCATCAACCAATAAATCGCCTCCACCCTTCACTTCATTCTAGAGTCTAGACTATTTTTTAAAACACAGCGTCATCGTCGACCCCACAAATTTTCGGTAAGTTTGATTATTAACTTGATGGATGTTTGATCTTGCTTTTTGTGTTTGATCAAACTCTATATTCGCCTAAAGGGCTGGCGATAATATATCCGGTAGAAATATGTAAATTTTGCTGAGACATCATGATGTAAGTTTATAAATTAAACACGTTTTTAATAATTGTGGTTTGGAAGGATACAAATTATTTTAAATGATAACTTGAGGCGGTTTTGCACAGCGCACTTGAGTTCCGACCCTGAGGTCTTAAAGTGACAGTAGCTGCTAATAAAGCTACTGTCGCCATTTGTGTAATGTTAATCAAACATCAGAAAGAAAGTAATTTACTGCCCTTGAATGAATCACTTTTGTAAAATTAATAAGAATGAATGTTGAATTTATACTGAAAACTATGTTTTGTATATTTGATTACTTTATACAATATAATATTATTCAGTGCTTTAAATTTTTCAAGGTCGATTTCTTATGTGCCTTTGTTCTATTGTTATTTGTGACTCTTGTCATCGGTAAGCTTGAGATTCTTTTCTTAAGTTACTATTATTGAAATTGGTCACAAGAATTATGAAATGTTAGTCCCATTAAATTTTGATATGATAAAAAATCGTTTTAAAAGTAATATAACTTAACTGTGAAGTATATCATAGATGGATAAAATGACTCATAATGATAGAACATTTAGCTCATGTAGTTGGTGACCTGTAGTGGTGGGGGGCCCTGCAGTAACTCATAGCCCCGGGGCCCAGTGAGCTCTTAATGCGGCCCTGTATATATGACTATATACATTCCTGACTGTTTTATGTCGCCCTGTTGCAGACCCAGATTTTCCCGCAGAGCCGATTCAACCCGAGGACACCTTCAATGAAATCAGTAAGAGTCTTTCTCACAAATGCTAATTCACTGATGAATCACTCTCAAGATTAGTGACTGAAGAAGGCTTGTGTTACAGCATGTTTGGAGGGCGTTTATATCACATTGCATTCATCTAAATTAAAAACATTTATTGGACATAACTGAACCAACCTATATACATTAATTTAAACCACCAAAACTCATTTTTATAAGTTAAATCAGGTAGAAATTACGGAAGCCCTGAACCACAATGTAAAAAAAAAAAATCCGTAAAAAAAATATTCTAAAATTAGAGAATAAAGTCGTAGCATTTCGAGATTAAAGTCGAAATATTGCGAGAATAAAGTCGAAATATTGCGAGAATAAAGTCGAAACATTTCGAGAATAAAGTCGAAACATTGCGAGAATGAAGTCGAAATATTGCGAGAATAAAGTCGAAACATTGCGAGAATAAAGTCTAAACATTGCGAGAATACGTCGAAACATTGCAAGAATAAAGTCTAAACATTGCGACAATAAAGTCTAAACATTTCGACAATAAAGTCTAAACATTTCGACAATAAAGTCTAAACATTGCGAGAATAAAGTCGAAACATTGCGAGAATAAAGTCGAAACATTGCGAGAATAAAGTCGAAACATTGCGAGAATAAAGTCGAAACATTGCGAGAATAAAGTCGAAACATTGCGAGAATAAAGTCGAAACATTGCGAGAATAAAGTCGAAACATTGCGAGAATAAAGTCGAAACATTGCGAGAATAAAGTCGAAACATTGCGACAATAAAGTCGAAACATTTCGACAATAAAGTCTAAATATTGCGAGAATAAAGTCGAAACATTTCGAGAATGAAGTCGAAACATTGCGACAATGAAGTCGAAACATTGCGAAAATGAAGTCGAAACATTGCGAGAATGAAGTCGAAACATTGCGAGAATGAAGTCGAAACATTGCGAGAATGAAGTCGAAACATTGCGAGAATGAAGTCGAAACATTGCGAGAATTAAGTCGAAACATTTCGACAATAAAGTCGAAACATTTCGAGAATGAAGTCGAAACATTTCGAGAATAAAGTCGAAACATTTCGAGAATAAAGTCGAAACATTTCGAGAATAAAGTCGAAACATTTCGAAAATGAAGTCGAAACATTGCGACAAAAAAGTCGCAACGTTGCGAGAATAAAGTCGAAACATTGCGAGAATGAAGTCGAAACATTGCGAGAATAAAGTCGAAACATAGCGAGAATAAAGTCGAAACATTGCGAGAATAAAGTCGAAACATTTCTAGAATAAAGTCGAAACATTTCGACAATAAAGTCTAAACATTTCGAGAATAAAGTCGAAACATTTCGAGAATAAAGTCGAAACATTTCGAGAATAAAGTCCCATTTCTTAAAAAAAAAGAAAAATATTCTCTTTCTTTTTTTTTTACTTTATTCTCAAAATATTACGACTTTTCTCATAATGTTTGGACTTTTTTCTCGAAATATTTAGACTTTAATCTCAAAATGCCACGACTTTATTCTCTTTTTTTTTTTTTTTTTTTTTTACGCGTTGTGGTTCATGGCTTCTGTAAGAAATAGCTCTTCGCGGTAAAGATTTCAGGTTTGCAGGTACTCTCACACAGGCTTGTTTTAATCCCGGTTCTCTTCTAGTTGTGGACATCACAGACTTCCCTGAGATCGTGGAGAACCATGAGATCAGCGGAGCCGGGAACATGCTGAAGACGTTGGACCCCATCCTCATCACCATCATCGCCATGAGCGCGCTGGGAGTGTTCCTCGGCGCCATCTGTGGTGTGGTTCTGTACTGCGCCTGCTCACACAGCGCCTTGTCCGACAGGAACTTATCCGCCCTGGAAAACTATAACTTTGAGTTAGTGGACGGTGTCAAGTTAAAGAAGGACAAGCTCAGCTCACAGAACTCGTACTCGGAAGCGTGAGGCGTCAACCAATGAGAGGGAACCTCTCCTCAGGGAGGGCGGGGCTAAAACGGACTGCCGATGCCATCCGATTGGAGGAGGACAAGGCTCTGTGGTTCAGTGAACCAATGGGAGGACGAGGGACTGAGCCGTGCTTTTCTCAGGAGCTGCAGTGAACGGAACCTACCAGTAGGGGGACACTGTGTACAAAACATTGAATTCAAGGATTAAAAAAAAAAAAAAAAAAAAGACAAATAAGAATATGTACAGATGATTGAAATTATTATTTTATTGTTTTGTATTATTTTTAGTTGATCATTTTTACAATCGGATGCTGGTGTTGAGACCAATATATAATAATGTTATAAAGTATTTATCTTTTTTTTTCTAGGAGGAAAAAAAAATCATTTATTTTTTATTTTAAAAGATTGTTTTGCGCTTTAAGGAGATGTGTAAAAAAATAAAATAAAAAACCCAAATGAACCATATACGACCAAGGGACGGTAATTACCCCATGGTAGGGTAAGGATCAAAGGGGGTGGAAGATCATCCAGCCCTGATGCATTCTGGGTATGGTTCAGTCAGTGCCTTTGGTACATCTTTTTTGGCCTCCTCGGTTGTTGTTGTTGTTGTTTTTTTTGGGTGTTTTTAACCCTTTAGTTCTCAAAAAAGGCTGTCGGTCGAATCTGCAAAACAAAACCCGGTGAATTCATAAGCGCTTTAATGTTGAAATCCTGCATATTGTACATAAGTTTTAATATATTTTAATGCCCTTTTCAAAGAAACGAGTAAAAGGACAAAAAAAGAAAGCTGCAGTATCCCTTTTTTCTTGGGTTGTATGTTGTAAATACAATCTTCTGACTGTTTTGTGAAAGTGAAACGTGTGCTTTTTTTCCCCGTCCTGTTCGGTTATTTTGCTACGCTCCCAAAAGATGCAGAACAGATCCAGTGCACATTTCATCATGGGAATCCATCATATCAAAGTTATAATCACAACAAAAAGAAGAAAAAAAAGCTCATCATTGCCTTGCTTTGTTTTGAAGTGAACAGCCCCAAATATCTCATCAAAGTGCTCATTCCAGCATCCGTCGAGCTTGAATCAGTCTCTCGTATCACTATACTGTCACTTTAAGAGTGGTGCTATTAAAGTACTGTTTTTTCCTGTATTAAAGGGTTAGTTCACCCAAAAATGAATTTTGGGTGAACTAACCCTTTAAGGTTCTCGTGTGCGCGCTTGATTGCGTGATAATGTCATAGTGGATTTCTGTCGTTGGCCTTGTGTCTGTACCAAAGGACTGTTGCCTCAAACTGCAGGGTCCAATCACAACCACCCGTCGTCATCATGTGACCTCTCGGACTCATCTCATTGGTTCCGAACCAAACCGCTGGTTTCGTGGCTCATTATCATTTTCGTTCTGGAATGGTGGATGGATCTGACTTTAGCAATGACATCACATATAGTTTAACCAATAACAGGGCTTCACTGCTGACAATACTAATGTTTTCTACAGGTTTCTTGGTATGTTCATGTAATGTGTTGTATACTGTGGCAAACACTTTTTTTTTTACTCCCATTTCTTTCGGATGACATGAATCACGTGCTACATGTGTGTGTTAATGGTGACTGGCTTCAGTCGGGACTCTGTGAGAAAGCAAACTGTAGCATTAACTAAAACGAAACAATGTTGCACTGATCAATATATTTGATGAAGTTTATGTGTTTATAGCATTCATTTGTACAAAAGACAACGGAGATGAAAAAAGACAGTGTTCATTTTTTAAAAATATAGTTTCAGGATATGTAATACGATTCTGAAATGGTCAATTATCGAGATGTTTTCATTATTGAAAAAGGTATACAGATTTCCTATAGTAAAGTTCACATTTACCTGACCCCGGTTATCTTTTCGTTTTTGTACTGTCGTTTAAATTTTGTGCTGATTTTCTTTTCTTTTCTTTTTTTACGAGAAGATGCGGAAGCAAAGAAAAAACTTTTATTTTCAATACTGCCTCTGTAATTTGCTGTTGTAGGAAGGAAAAAAAAAATGAATAAAAACAGCAAGGCCTTAAAATGGATTTCAATGTTTTGTATTTGAGCGTCTGCATCTCAAGAGTCTCTGATCGAATCAGATCAACTGACCTTCCAAAGATTCAGCTCCAATAAATGTTTCTCAAACTCATTTTCTCTTTTATAATTTATTTTCTTTTTTAATGCATTTTTGTTTTAGTTTGAATAAGACATGCATGCAGATGTAGAGAGAGGGCGCTGTTGAGCAACTTGATGACAAGAGAAGAGTTTACAAATGTGTGACTGCAAATAGTTTCAATAAAGTCGAATAACATATGTTTTAGTTTACATATGTTTATCAGCACATTCGGCCGTACTCCTAAACCGTATTTCACTGACAATAGAATAAGTAATTAGCATGCAATTAAGTGTCCATAAACATTACACTATTATAATAGCTATATTTTTTCTGTTATAATACTTTTAAAGGTGCAATGTGTAAAAAAATGTGAGTATATTAACAGAAATGCAATATGACATCCATAACTATGTTTTCAGTGGAGTATAAAGAACTTACTTAATAAACCGTAATGTTTTTATTACTTGAACTTGACGCGCGAATGAGGCGTGTTCGCGTCTACCGCGCCGCGCTCTACGCCTCATTCGCACCGCAGGAATTTTTTACGCGCGTAACGCGTCTTTGCATTGACTTAACTGACCTTGATAGAGATAATCTTCCAATGGAAAGAGCTCTTGGTCTACTTTGGTGTGTTGAGTGAGTCAGACTCCTTTAAGATCAAAATCGAAGTGAAAGAGCAACAGCTAACCAGACGTGGCATGTTATCCATCACAAGCTCTGTGTATGATCCTTTGGGTATTTTAGCACCAGTCACTTTGTCTGCAAAGATGATGCAACAGGAGCTCTGCAGGAGAAAGTGTGGATGGGACGATGTCATACCATCAGATATCTTGACTCAATGGAAGCGGTGGTTGGAAGATATTAAGTCGCTGATTTCATTCAGATTGGACAGGTGTGTAAAGCCGAAGGACTTTGGAGCACCCATACACAGGCAGTTACATCACTTTCACTGATGCCAGTAAGGATGGCTACGGAACCGTGTCCTACATCAGGCTGCAGAATTGCAGAAACGAAGTTCATGTAGCTTTCCTATTGGGTAAGGGCAGAGTCGTACCACTGAAGTCCATAACTATTCCACGATTGGAACTAACAGCGGCAGTTGTAGCTGCCAGAGTGGATGTGATGCTGAAGTCAGAGCTTCAGCTTGAGTTGGATGAATCTGTGTTTTGGACCGATAGAACTTCAGTACTTAAGTATATTAGACAAACGATTTCAAACCTTTGTGGCAAACAGGATTACTGCCATAAGAGATGTTTCTAACCCTTTCCAATGGAGGCACGTCAGTTCCAAAGAAAACCCTGCTGATATTGCATCTAGAGCAGGGGTCGGGAACCTTTTTTGTCCAAAGAGCCATTTTTTTTTTCATTTTTGGTTAGTGCATTTTTCCAAAAGAGCCACAGTAAAAAATAAAAAATAAAAAAAATTAAAAAAAATTATTAAAGACATGCTTTTTTTCAATAAAATTTCAACAGCAGTAATTATTAGGTCCATAGACAACTAAAAACAAACAAATATTCAGCAAACAATAAAGTTTCAACATGTATTAGTTGTGAAGGGCTTTCACTGTAAAATTGAGTTATCAACTGATGAGCATAAATCCTCTCTGTCTGCGTGTGTGTGTGTGTGTGTGTGTGTGTGAGAGAGAGAGAGAGAGAGAGAGAGAGAGAGAGAGAGAGAGAGAGAGAGAGAGAGAGAGAGAGAGAGAGAGAGAGAGAGAGAGAGAGAGAGAGAGAGAGAGAGAGAGAGAGAGAGAGAGAGACATTACTTACATCTCCTGTGTTTACGTGAATACTCGACTTGGCATTTCGATATATTTCTGTTTATTTGGCCGTCGTTTTCTCTCATTCCTTCATGTTTTGTTATTAATTACTTTAAACAGAATCGTCAACTGAAATCTGCATGGATTATCAAAAATACACATTTATCATGTGTCATAAAGGGTCTCTGCGGCAAAAGTGAAAGTAGACTACCAGCGGGTGAAATGTTTCGAAATGTCTCTGCACAGCAAAGCACCGGTTTCAATAAAATGATATATTAAAGTTTATATAACCTTCTTTTACATTTTTGCTGCTGTAGGCCTACCTTAAACAAGCTGCAGCTGCTTGAATCCCAGTGCAGGAGCTGTAGGTTACCACAGAGACGTAAGAGGTTAGTTGATTGCTCTGATGACTCGTGACACTCGCGACCAGCACTGAATACGCACTTTTGCCGGTACAACATGAATATAATTATTATCATAAACTTTTCATTAACTTTGGCAAATGGCCTAAAGTGTGCCAAGAAAACACCCCCCACACCATTACACCACCACCACCAGCCTGCACAGTGGTAACAAGGCATGATGGATCCATGTTCTCATTCTGTTTACGCCAAATTCTGACTCTACCATCTGAATGTCTCAACAGAAATCGAGACTCATCAGACCAGGCAACATTTTTCCAGTCTTCAACTGTCCAATTTTGGTGAGCTCTTGCAAATTGTAGCCTCTTTTTCCTATTTGTAGTGGAGATGAGTGGTACCCGGTGGGGTCTTCTGCTGTTGTAGCCCATCCGCCTCAAGGTTGTGCGTGTTGTGGCTTCACAAATGCTTTGCTGCATACCTTGGTTGTAACGAGTGGTTATTTCAGTCAAAGTTGCTCTTCTATCAGCTTGAATCAGTCGGCCCATTCTCCTCTGACCTCTAGCATCAACAAGGCATTTTCGAGACTTTCAACAAGAATGGACTCAGACTTTTATGGGATATATTCTTTGTGACAACTAGTCAAGTCTTTGGGTTAAACTCTCAAAACACATTTGGAAACAGACAGAAAATATGACACTGGTCTAATTTAAAAAGCAGATATATTTCCTTGTCTTTCTCTGAGTCCGCAGGGATGTTTGCAGTTCAGCACGAAACACCATGAGAGTAAGACAAGCTGTCTTTCATTACTCAACACAGCTCCTCAATGCTCCAGTTTATCGATCAAAACAAAACCAATTGCCGGAATATACAACATGAAGAGGGTTGAGCTGAAAATCAATGTAATATTTCAGTTAAAACAACTTTAATCAACAAAAACACACACACTATTAGTTCTGCGCTCAATCCGACAGACACACACAAGCATGGGAAATATGTGTGTTTTATAAGATATCTCCTCAAATTATAAGCTGTACAACATTGCAAATATAACATTTAGCAAAATAATTATTTTGAAAGGGTGAATTTTGAAGTAAATTACTGTAAGATTTCCTGATCTTGTGACAGTGACAAAAAAAAAAAGTTCAAACTAAAACAGCAGCTGATCACCCTGTTAGGAAGTTTTGCATTAGCATTTAAAGGTCTATCATGTGACTTTTCTATAAATAGTATAAAAACTATTGTTGTTTATGTCTATTTTATGTGGTAGGGTGTGTTATTCTTTATTATAGGCCATTAAATAAAGAAAGTACATTTTGTCAGATTTACTCATGTCATTCCAAACCTTTATTATTTGTGTGTGTGTGTGTGTGTGTGTGTGCGTGTGCGTGTGCGTGTGTGTGTGTGTGTGCGCGCGCGCGCGTGTGTGTGTGTGTGTGTGTGTGTGCGCGCGCGCGTGGGTGTGTGTCATAAA